GAAGCTCAACTCAAATGGAAATAAACACCAAAATCAACACTTCAAACCTTTTGATTCCAAAAAATCTAATTACCATCTATCTCCTTTAATTACTTCACCATCCTTAATCAGAATCTCTTTTCTTATTTTTCATGTTCACCTATGATTGATTTGAAAAATCGAACTTGATAAATGATGCTAAACATGCTGAATCTATTCAAAATCTTTATAGAAAAATTAGAGATCAATAAATAAAACACAAAACATATCAAGGACTTATCCAAAAGAATAGGTATTAAAAATCGAGTTTTTTTTGATTTGCAGAGGGAATAGCTTGAGGAAATGAGTGGAGAGGAGATTGATTGATTGGGTAGATAAGATGGAGCTGGTGGCGAAATGAGGGGAAGGTTATGGCAAGATGGGTTGGATCAATAGCTCGATTAGCAAGTATCTGCTTGATTGATAAGAGTCTGAGGCTTGATTTGACTCGGACCGACCTAAAAACAAAGAAAAAAGAAAAACAATTCAATGAGATTCAATTAGAAACAAGAAGAGGTCAGAAGTTTGAAATGATGAAAACAAAAGAAGGACTTACAGTTAGGTTATGTTAGGTTTGAGATAGAGCAAGGTGTTGGGTATAAAAAGGGGTTTTGATTGTTTTGTGTGTGAGGAGTGTGTCTGATCGCGAAAGTGTGTGTTTGTGGTTTTCTTTTTTCTTTTTTGAGCGTTATTGAGTTATTTTTGATCATTATCGAGTTAGCACAGCGAGATTGTTCTCCTCGTTTCTTTTTCTTTGTCATCGAGTTGCTTTCTAGAAGAGAAAGCAGAAACCAAGTGAGGTATTGAATGTTAGTGTTCTTTCTTTAATTCATCGTATTGATAGTTGAAGTCGCGAGTAAAAGGAAACAAGAGTTTTGAAAAAAAGACTTACTTTTATTAATAGTAAGGGTTGCTGAGGAGTGTTATCGGTGATTTTGGAAACCCTTATACTTGGGATTTTGAAATTTGGATTTATTATTTTTTTTTTATTTTTTTTTTGTTGCTTATCTTACTTAGCTACCTAGGGGTTTTGGCCTAGGGTATTAAGGTAGATTGGGCAGTTACAGGTGTAAGTAGCTGGGTTTTGGAGGTACTAGGGTGTGTAGGGTAGTTTCGGGATCTGTAGGAGTTGGGGAACAAGGTTTAGGTGGAATTCTAAGGTTTCTTTTTTTATCTCTTGCTGCGGGAATAACTTTTTGAGGAACTTTATTGGGAAAACATTGTAAAAGACATCTGTTTACAGTTTGTGTTTGAATTTTTTAACCTTTACGGGGATTCTTAAGCTGAACTAAAGCTTGTAGATTGGTATTTTCAAGGTTGGAGCTTAATTTTGGTGGTAGTAAGGTTGGCAAAGGAGTGTCTCACTGTATTTTGAGGGCAGCTTAACGGCGTTTTGGTTACGACTCTTGGTGGTTTATTCCCGACTTGAGTTGTTTCTTCCCCTCGAGGCTCTGCCTACGCTCCACAGCGTAGGAGTTCTACACCGGTCCCGGGTCCGCGCCCTTTTTTCGCCACGGTTAAATTCCGTCATTTGGCGAGGCGCCGGGTGTATAGATCGGTGATCTCTTGGGTGTGCGGGTTTCTCGGCAATCCCTTCTAGTGAGGCTCGTGTAGAGTCTCAACTCGTTGAGTGACCCGCAAACTCTATTCAAGATCGCTTATTCTGAACATCCACTTTTGATGTGTTGTAATCTCTCCGCGCAATCTACAATTACTCTATTGCGCATTTGTATGTACAAGGCTTCTACGGTATTTTCTCATCATTTCGTAATGTAAATCAAAGAAACCTTATTTGTTCCTTCTGTAAATCAACCACAGGAAATCCTTCGCTTCCTGTTTTTCTTTTTCTCCGTAACTTTTCAGATAAACATCTATCGCGTCTGATTTCCACCTTCCTGCCCTCATTATCCTCTCCTTTTCCCATCCTAAGTTGATCCTCAGTGACGCTCCTCCTACCCTGAAGGAGTGCCCAGACCACTCTCCGTGTCCGACTCCGGCCGTTCCCCATACTTTCTCTATTATCTTCGTGAATCTTGATTTTGACAGTGTATGTCTTTCCCCATCTTCGAGGTACGAGAAGAGTATTGCTTTTTTCTCCCTTTCCGGGTGCTCCGCTTCTATCCATCTCTCCAGGGCTGCAACTGGGTCTAGTACCGACGGCTGTTCGTTCAGCCTTTCGTTCACCACTAAATCGGTCCACTGTTTCTTTTTATTCTCTTTGTATTTTCCACTTACTTTATGAGTTGCACCTCCCCTGGTCTCGCTGTTTTGGCTTTCCACAGCTGCAGTGTTGCGGTCCTTCCCTTCTTTGAGTTTTCGAACGAAACGTCTTCTAGTTTTATTGCACCTTCCTCTAGTGACTCCCTTATTAGCTCTCCAAGTCTGGCCATGCCCCAGAAAGCACATACCGCGATGGTCATCGTTTCGATAGAATGACTTCCACTTAACGCCTAAAGGCGCTCATCACTTTTCTGAACACAAGCTTTACCTTGATAGGCAGCTTTTCTTTCTTTTCCACTATTGCTTTCTTCTCTTCGCTTCTCTCGCAAGACCTGATCAGCCATTCTACGAGTTGCTTATCGAATACCGGTTGCTTGTGATGCTTTGCTACGTGCCACGCCGTCAGACCGGCTAGGTACTTCTCTACAGTCTGTGCTTTGATCTCTCTCTTGGGTGCTGATCGTTTCTCCACTTCCGACGGGCCTGCCCATACCACAAAACCATAGACATCCTCTTCTGTCATTTCCTCTTCGTTTATGAATTCCCTTCCGTTACTTTCTATGTACGCCTTGAATTTTTGTACCGCGCTCGAGTAGCTTTTCTTTGTGCTGTCCGCCCACGCACCTCTCACTAAATGCTCCGTCACTAGTCCTTTCCATGTCTCGTCTTTAACTATCACTTTTTCGAAGTTGTTTTGTCCTTTCTTCATATTCTTTTTGTGATTCGTATTGTATGTACGGTTCAAGGTGGTCCGGTATTTTCGGCTTAAGGAAGTACGACAGTTTCCTGGTTCCTCGTTCTCCTCTGGATAGTTGATCGGTGTGGTTGTCTCCGGTTCTGACGTATTTTTCCTCAATTTCCCCGCCTAAGTAAGTTAGTTCCTTTTGTAACAGCTTCCACTCGTCGTTGACTGCTCAATCCCGCGACTTTTGGTTCCTGATTGCCGCCTCCGTTCCGGTGTTATCTGTTAGCACTAAAAAACTCCTGCCTTCCATCTCTAACAGGTCTCGTGTCATCTCTACCCCGATTCTCACTGCGACCGTTTCCAGCCATGCAATGCCGCGTTTCACACCTCTTTCGTCTACCTGGTTCCACCCGCTCCGTAACTTTGATTGCGACCAATGCTTTCCGACTATTACCCCTATACCAAAACTCGTTGACGCGTCTCCAATCCAACCTATGTTTTCTACGCCTTTCTTGGGTATCAGCTTGTGGTTATCAAACTTGGTCAGTACCTCTTCCCACTCTATCAGATCTTCTTTTACTTCATCCGGTAGACCCATGACGGCCAGTTCGTTCTTCCAGCCTGCTAACATTCTGTATAGACTGGCATTGTAACATTTCATTTGAGGTAACATGTAAGTTACGTGGTTGAGCCTTCCTGTTAATTTTTGTATCGATTTGTGTGAGTGACTTCCTTTGTGATTTATCGCCTCTCTGATTTGTTCCAGCCTTTCTTGCCTTTTCTTTTCCGGTAGCCTTACTGACTTATCTTTTCCGTTCCATATAAAACCAATGTATTTTTGCTCAGTTTTAAATTTGGAGTACTTTCCTTCGTTGGTCATCACTCCCAACTCGGCACTGGCGGCTACTACGTCCACCATCGACACCTGGTCTCTCTCGCCTGCTATTCGTACAAACATGTTGTCGTCTACCCACCGGAACACCTCTAGGAAACTAAACTTCTCTTTCATGATCGCCCTCCACGCGTCCGCTGGACCACTGAAGCTCCCGCATCCGGCCACCCCACCGAATGAGACTCTCGTGTCTAGGAGGAACCTTCCTTCCGCTGTTCTTAACATCAGGTACCTCCACTGGTTGGGGCTTGTTGAAATCTCCCGGTAGGCTTTTTCCCAGTCGAAGATCCCTAGTTCAAGGACCCCCTTCTCTTTGCTGAAAAAGGTAGCTACTATATTGAAATCGTCCCAACTGGTTTTGAAATCCTCTTTATCCACCAGGGCCTTAACTGATGTCAGATTTGCTTCTCTTTGTGGATAGGATAGATCAGTTATTGCTCTCGTCGATCCATCATTGTTTGTCACCATACCCATCGGGATGGTCCGAAAAAATCCCAGGGTTTTCAGCACCTCGTTTTCCGTGAACGGGCCGTACATTCGGCCTGCCGCTAGCTCTTTCGAAAGTTTTCTTCTAATTTCTTCCTTGTCCGTGTCGCTTGTTGCATGATTAGCGGGTGAGTAGAACTTTCTTCCCCATAGTCGGTGTTGGGGGATCCCTTGAGTGAAACCTTCCTTGAAACCCTTCAGAACGTAGCCATGTTTCTCCATCAGGTTCAGCGTCCTGAGAGTTCTCTCCCACGCATCCAACTTCATCTCGCACTTGACTTCCTTTGGCCACTTTCTATTCATGTGGTATCCTCCTTCCGGTAGGGTTTCCGGTAACGTGGGTATCGGCTGTTGGTATATCTTACTGACCACCTTCTGTATCTCTTCTGATCTCTCTGTTGTGGCCTTGCTGGGTTCTCTTTCTACTTCCGCCTGCATTACCGTTGGACTCTGCGCTTTTTTGTTCACGTCTGGCTCACTTAGCTGGTCACTGCAGTTCTCTTCTGGCTCACTTTTCGCGCTCTCCGCTCTGCTCCTTGGCTCGCACGGTATGGGGCTGTATAAGCGGATGGGGACAGTAAACAAAACTGGTGTGAATTCATTGCACAAATTTCTTTATTACTTCACAAGTACTACCGAGCAAACTTATCGTCTCTGAGACATCTCTCGCTCTCTTCTTTTTTTTTTTTTCTCGGTTACTCACTCCTTGTTCTGCTCTTCTCCAGTCTTAGGGCCGTTACCCTGCCCCTTCCCCCTGTTTCCCCATCCTCCTGTTCCTGAACTCCTTCCTCTACCTCCACCTTGTCCGAATACTTGTATCGGATCCGACCTCTGCCCCGCGTTCCAGAACCCCGCCGCCTTCTTCTCCTTGTAGTTCGGGATCCAGTTGTTGCCTAGGTATCCTCCTTGTCTTCCTACAGATGCTCCTTGGCCATTCTGAATGCCTGCGTCTTACGGGTGCGCCGTATGGTGTGAGTTTGCGTCATTTTTTTTCTATTTGGTCTTGGAGGTTTCCGGACTTCCTCAACTCACTGTTGCTTGTGTTGTTGGTATACGCAAAACTCCTTTTTGCGCCGGACTTTGTTTGACCAGTCACCGGGTCTATCGACTCTTTTCCGCCGCCAGCCACGTAAGGGTTTTCCTGGAACCTTCTTTCACCGTTGTTTTCGGCCTCCTCTTTGGCTTCTCGCAGGATGTCCTCGTGCATATATCCGGCGTCGACCATCACACGTTTGCCGTTCATCTTCTTAACAACCATCACGACTAATCGTACCTTCATGCGGTACCTGAGGGCTATCATCCAGCATTTGGTCGATCTCTTGATGTTCACGACGTTTTCTTTGTGCCTTCTGAACATTTTTGCGGCACCTGGCTTGTTGTACTCGGTCTCCAGATACTTGATAAAAAGATCCATTGCGTCTACCCAGAACCCGTACGTCATCAATAACTCTTCCGGTGGGGTCAATCCAGAGAAGGTAGCTGAGGTGTCATCCTCTTGTAACTCCTTTAGGGTTTTCGTTTTCTTCTTTCCCACTTGTCTGTGGTCTTTTTCAATCCATGCGGGGTCAAACACCGTGAGTTGGACGTACGCTTTCAAGGTTTTCATTCTTGCGTCGAAGTATGGTGTGAGGGGGAGGAGTAAATGCCCCTCGATGGGCTTCCCGATCATGTAGGTTATCCCATCTTCTGTTTCTGTTTTGGTGTTGCCGATGATTGGTCTGTCAGCCTAGCGTGTGCGTCTGCTATGTCTGTCTCTGCTTTACTGACCAGAGTCGTCTTCCTCCTCACTGCTCTCTGCGCGCCTGCTCTTTTCCTTTTTTCCGCTTGTTGCCTTCGAGGTCTCCTCTCTCTTGCCTCTCTCTTCTTCGTCACCTTTGGCTCTTTTTCTCGCAGTTGGCATCCTCACTCCCTGGTCCTCGCTGTCGCTACCGCTTCCGGAGACGAGGGATGCAGTCCTCGGCCTCTTCGCCTGTGCCGTTTTGGTCTGCTGATTACGACTCCTGGGAACGTTTTTCCCTACGTTGTTGGTGATCGTGTCCCTCTCTTCCTGAGTTGGGGGAGCTCCTCCGTATACCGCGTTGAAGGCTCTTAGAATTTTGTCTGCTCTGTCCGAGTCACCCCAGTAGTACTCGTGTTTGGTTCTTTGCATCCACGCTGCTTTCCTGTCTTCTATTTCTACTTCTCCTGCGTGCGGAACAAATGGGAGCGAGTTAATGTCAGCCTTGTTTTGCCGTTTTCTACTTTTTTTTTTTTTTTTTTTTTTGACTGTTGTTTTCTTTTTTTTTCGGCACAGGTAACCGTTATATTTGGTTTCTCTTCCCTTTGGGTGAGGACATTTCTCCATTTTATTTCTCTTTTGGTCATGGTATAGCCCATGCCTAGCCTCGGTGGTTAATGTGACCGGTGCACTTTTTTTCCCGTAGGATTTTCCGCCCTGCTCCTTCCTTGTCTAGACTCCTTTGGTGTCTTTGGTGCATCCGCTGTAGAACTTATAACCCAACAAGGGTTATACAGAGCTGGAAGAGTATAATCTACTAATATAATGACTAGTAGAAGTTGTCTAAGGACTGCTCTTCTAAAACAACACAATCAGAAAGAGCTCTGTTGTATTGAGTACTGATAAGGCACCAGAGAAATATATCTTCACACGTATTTTAACTTCAAAAGCACACTTTGTATTACTATCAACACTGCTATAGTGTTATTCCCAATTGATAACTAAAGAAAATAAGCAATATCTGATTGATATTATTCCCAATAAGTCTTTATGACTATAATACTAAAGTAAATTTCTCTTTATAGCTGTAATAAAGGGCGTATTTAAGTGACCAGGTACTATTAAAATAAGTTTATGATGATAAACAAAATAATAATGGCGTAAATGATAAAGAAAAAAAGGGGAACAACAGTCCCAAAACCCTCTCAAAGTATATATAACAATGTACTAGAACTTTTACAATGGTCAACAACCTCAAAACCAATCAAGTCCGCCCAAAATTCCCTAAAAACCCTATGATGACGCAATGTAATGATTTTGTTACTAATAAATGATGTAATTTTCACAGCTAAAAGTGATTTTTTCCTTGTAAACTAGCTGAAAACCAATTTTTGAGATTACGAATTTTTTTAGATGTGCTCCAATTTTTGATTACTAAAGTGCATCTTGTATCCCACGTGTTACTGATCATTTCTGACACCTACATGACCTACTTCTGATGAGTGATGAGTAAGATATTGAGCTGTGAAGTTAAGGTTTTGAGCATTACATGTTGACTTGTGAGTAAGATATTGAGCTGTGAAGTTAAGGTTTTGAGCATTACATGTTGACTTGTGACTGTAAATTCGAGATTCACACCAATTCTTTATTTGCCTTATAACTTTTTACACACACTTCCGTTACTAATGATTTAAAGTTTGTACATTATGTAATCCATTCTTCTGCGTTGAATAAGCCATCTACCAACGTATTCTGACGTCATTTGACATATGTAATTAGCTGAAAACCTCCATTTTCCACGAATTTCACCCATTTTCTCCACTTTTCACAGCTGCTACTCTCTTTTTCTTGCTCATGTAATATGACATCATCATCTATAACCTTAAAAATCCCGGAAAATCCTCTTGGCAACCTTAAATTCCATCACTACCACTATTACACAACCAAACTACATGTGTACCTCTTGTTTACCAACTTTGAAAAAGTACCTTTTCCCTAATAACTTTTGTTTCTACTTATCAACCTTGAAGATTAAAATTGTCATAGTATAATATAATGTTGTTCTTTCATATTCTAACCTCATAATACCCATAACTTTATTTTTACTAACCTAAAAACCATTTTCCAACCTTTGTACCTATATTTTCGAATTTTTCTTATGTTTTTCTTTCTTTCTTTTTGTAATAAGTTTGTAAGTAAAGTATAATGATCTTAATATATAATGTGAAATAAAATGATTTAATGTTGACCTAATGACCAATACATAAGCCTACAAGAGCTTCAATTGATCAAAAACCTCCATTTTGAATTTTCTTTCCTGCTGAATCCTGCTAATAAACTGGTAAACTGGTAATTGTGAATTTTTTAATTGATCCCATAAATTGATCACCACACCGCTTGTTCTCTTTTTCAGGTCAAGCCCCCGGAGATAAGTGAGTGGGATGGATATAGGCGTGGTGGTGTGGGGGTCTTCTTGAAGGATGATAACAGAGAAAAAAAGGGGGGGGAAGACTGGGAGATATCGGTGGTTTCTTAAGATAAGAGGGGAAAGGGAAATGGGGTAGAAACGATGGGGGTAGGACGTGGTGTTGTAAAAAAGGGACATGCGTATGGCCGCTTCCTTTGTGGTACCGTCGTCTTGGATGTGGGGGGGTGGTAATACCTGAGACGTATACGGGATTAGATATCTCTGCGCTTACCTTCACCTTCCTGGTTTCCTGTTTCGGCCTTCCTTTCTATTCCTTCTACTTCTCCTTCCTTTTCCTTTCCTTCTGCTTCATCCGCTTCGCCTTTGTTTCCTTTCGCTTTTTTGGTTGAAGAGCTGGGTTCGCACTGGTCCAACGCACCGTCCGTTGTGGCTCTGCTCCCGCCTTGTTTGGTTTGGTCCTTCCGTTCCTGTTGTTGACTTTTCTGATCTTCGGCGTTGTCTGCTTCGACGGTTTTGTTCTGACTTCTCGTCTTCTTTGTAATCCTGATTTTTGTTCCCGCTGCTGACACCTTGTTCTTCACTGCCTCCATCTCATCGTTGAATGAAGCCATTATTTTCCTTGACACTGTTGCGTACCACTGAAACTATTCTGTTTGACTTTTTAAATTTTAAATTTTCGAATATTCAATGAGTAATATAAATACTTTGAAAGTTCAGGGATGGTCAAGGTTCTTGGTGACTTGGTGCGGGGGGGTGAAAAATTCTCGATCTGGGAATTTCCCACGACTGAGTTGTGTGTTGTACAGCTGTACAGGCACCTCACCACCTAGACCTTAGCTTATGGACCTATGTGTTAAGCCGTACCTTGGTTAACACTATCCAAGAATGACCTAATCAATGTGGCATTCTTTGGGTCAAGGTGAGTTTTGTACGCAGGAAAATTAAGATACTTATACGGGTTTGAAAAACACCCCAGTCAAACCCTCATAGGCTCATACATCAAAAGTCGTGCTCTCATATAAGGACATGCTATCCTGCACAGCACAAGTATTGAAGTTCTCAAATCTTCCTTAACGATCATCTACTCCAATCCAAGTAACATTCAAGTACAACATGTCCATATTTACTAAACAAGGGTTTTATACAAAAAATGACAATCGAATCAATTTCTCCTTTCACAGCCTCTCACTTCTCACAGACATAAGAAGACAGCTACAATCTTAGGAAGAAATATGCGTGGGTGGCGTTACTTTTCCGGTCCGTTGCTCCACATGCCAGAGGATTTACCCTTGATGAACCGCATTGGTGCTCAAGCCTAGTCCTGAAACAGGGTGCGTTTATGAAGTTTATCGTGCCAAACATCATCCAACATATATAAATGAGAACCGAGTCCATGGATCTCTGATACGCTTACTCGCCGATTATCTCAAACCTCACTCGCTGTGAATTCTTGCCGGTTAACTTACCTGAATCAAAGTTTGAAGACTTGCATACTCAGATCAAATGCGTAACGTCTACCCCAAGATTTTCCTTTTACTCCTTTCCCTATGGGTTGATAATCTGAATGCAATCCAATCATATGTTCCGTGTGTTAAAGGATTTATACGTAACACAGACACAAATGCAGGTATGTGGTTTTCATCCTCAATTCATCTTGTCTTGTCACTTCAGCAAAAGCTGACTGACCAGGAAGTTGTGATGGCTCATATCGAAAGTGTGCGCTGTGAGTTTTACACTTCCACCTTATAGGTCACAGTATGACTGCGTATATACAAGTTGCTCCTATAATCCCAATGGTAAGTACCTCAGACCAAGTTCTTGATTTTCCTTCTTATACAAATAAACCTGTAAAGCTGATCAACAAAGAGATTTGAATTTCATTAGGTACCAAATGGGTTCCGATGCCAAATTGTCAATTGATAGGATCAAAAGACAAAGGTGTTAGTAATCAAAAATGTATAATGTATGATTATAACGAAAAACTTGGAAACTTTGGTCAGTCTATTGACCTCTTTTTTTGATTTGTAAGATTTGACTTGATAAACTAACTTGATTTGAGATTTCTTGATGGGTCAAATAGCTTGTACTAACGCCGCTGGAAAATCTTATGCTTGTCCTTATACACCTCAAACTGTGCCAGCCATGGGTCAGTCAAAGATCTTATTTATTGATCAAAAATCTCGTTGAAACTGAAATAAGTTGATTTCTTTTGTAGTATGCACGGACTGTAATCTTTATCACCAAAAATGATGATCAATCGACTCGGACTCTGATGTTTGGGTGATGAAATATATTGTAACTTATTCCTTGGTTCAGACATTTTTCTTTGGCTTTGCCTAACTTCAACCTTCACCGTGAGTAGAAATTGCATCATCAACAGAAATTTCTATACATAACTACAGAAAGAGACTACCAGAGGATTTAGGACAAGTCGCATTTAGCCTTCGAAGACTCTAGTCTATAGTCTTCACTATCATACACGGTCACCATGAGATTCTTCTGTGCTAAAAGAATGATGAAGAAAAGTCCAAAAGTCTAGTCCAAAGTGACTTGCTTACCTATGTGCAATCACATTGGATATAAGAAAGAAAGAAACACTTTGGCTTACAAGCTCTGCATGTTGATACAAAGAATTGTGGGGCCCCTGGAGTCTGAGTGTTTTGAATGAATTAAAGATGAATTTAAGAGTTTATTTTGTACAATCCATTCGCGTTGAATTGTACAACAACTTTCTTCGGTTCAAAGAAAGTTGTATCGAATACATTTGCAATAAAAATAGATCACCTCATCAGAAATTAGAATCGCGCTTGGATCACGTGATCAATAGAACAAAACAAAACACATTATCTGATCAGGTCACGTCTTTGGGTTTATTTAGCAATCAAGATTCGAAGAAGTGATTTGTATCAAGACCATTAGATGATGAGGTTTGAGAATCCTTGGATGAAGTTTTAAAGAAATGAATTTAAATCAAGATCAACTTTGGTTTAAAGAACACGTCTATGGCTCGAAGATCTTCTCGACAATAGTGAATTCGAATCGATCGATCTCAAGTTTATTAATTTACTTTCATTTGTTGATTTCAACTTTCTTGACTTTCTTCTTGGTTTACAAGTCTTCAAGGAAATCGATCGCTTCACTTGGCTTTGGTTTTTCGATTTCATTTTCACTTTATCTTTTGATCGTTAACTTTGTTGGACTTGATGGGATCACTGGGATATATTCGGCTTATTGGAAACAAGATCTCGCATTAACTTCCATCGTCATTCTTTCAAACTATTTCACATTTTTATTCTTTTTATTTCTGATCTTCAGGAAACAACAACCACATCCTCATCTTTTATATCGTTATCTTGAACTCTTAGGTCTTTGTTTCTTTAACCTTGAAGGAAGTTTATGTTTATCAATCTCAATCTTATCATTTACAAACCAATTCCATTCAACTCATTATTTCAAACCAATCTTGATCAGTTTGATGTCTTTAGCATTCACTTTAATCAGTTATTTTAATCTTCAAGCGGCTATCTTAATCTCATTTTCGACCATCTCAAGTTTTTTATTTTTTTTTACTTTGGATTTGATCATTAATAAAAACTTTGGAATCGGTTTAGCTTGGAGAGTTTTATTTGATCATAATCATTTACACCAATCAGTATGTTTTGAATTCCTAATCTTTTCTCTTTTCTTTAAATCATTGTCTTTTGTTGAATGGATCTTGACAATTTCTTTTGCCATAGGTTTTGAGGAATTATTATCCACCTGTTTCTACTCGAATCTTAATAGGTCTTAGTTGGTTAACGAGGTTGAGTTGCACAAGTTTCTTTTAAGATTCTTTGATGTTGACATTTCACTGATCGACTGGTTTTTGATTTCAGTTTGATGATCGTGATCGGTTTCAAATTGATAAATCGATCAAAACCCAACTCAACCAAATCGAATTCGAATTCGAATTCCAATCGATTATCATCCACCACCATCTTACAATCCATCCGATCCACCATCCCATCCGAAAAAGAATCCCAAACCCAACTCCAAGATGCCCAACCCCATGATCCTCAATCCACAAACCTAAGTTCAATAGAAACCGAAATGCCCAGAGTCTTATCCACCGAACTACGAACGACAACTACCTCTAATGATACAGGATTAAGTGCGATACCTGAACTAACAGAAGCAAGTCAAACCGAAAGCATCATAGCCTTTTCGAACCCAAGATCATCCTTCAACATCAGATCATCATCTAATGCCACCAGTTCATCTCACCAAAGATCATCAATCGACCAATCCCAAAACCTAAGATCAGCCAAAAAAAGACGTTCGACTTTCTCTTCTCTCGAACACCAATACCATTCCCCATCACATTCTCATTCGCTTTCTCATTCTCATTCACTCACACCTGATGATTCGATTTCCCTAAGTTTTGATTGTAAAGTATTGATTGAAGAAGAATCTTTAGAAATCATGAGATCTGAATCTGTTTCGGATTATTTAAGAATCGCTTACGAATCTCAAAGAGAAGATGAACTTAGGATTGAAGGGATCGGAGGAAATCAGGGCAATGAAGTGGATGAAGATCAAGAAAGAAATCCTGATCAGGAAGGAAATCGTGATCAAAGTTTAGAACATGATGGAAATGAAATTCAAGATGATGATGAACCAGGAAATGAAGATTCAAATGATCAAGTTAATGAAGATCATCCTGAAATGAGCATCAGACGTGATTTACATTTATTTTAAAAAATTTGTGAAAGTTTAATAGAGTAACCACTTACTCATAAAAGGAAAAAAAATAAATCTTTTCAATGAGAAAGACACTTTGATTTATAGAGCTATTGATGATGTTATTTTGGTTTTGGTTTTGGGCTCACGCAATATGCAATGTACATTTTGATGATCGGAAAAAAAAACCATGAGTTTTCCCTTTACATTTTGTTGTGTTCAGAATGTAAAAATTTCATTAAGATTGTAGGATATATAATTTCTTTAATTCAAATAATGCTAAAAAAAGAAGCCTAGGAATCAGAGCATTGATTAGTGGGTTCAAGTCCAAGATCCTGAGCAGGTATAATTGAACCTCTGAGCACAGTCTTTAAGGGTGTGTTCACATAAGCAATTTCTGGTGAGAAATCACATTCTACAAAATTTGAAGTGTCTATTTGGTGGTGGATGTTTCATTTTTGCATTAAAATATTTACAGAATGTGATTGCTGGTCAGAAATTCCTTAAATGAATGGGCCCTAAGAGTCTGTTCAAGTTGCCATGATGTGTTTTCAGTCCTACAGTTCTCTATCTGAGTGAGAATCTCTTCAATCCATCTAAAAACCTAAACAGTCTTAACTAACCCAGAGCCAGCCAAATGGTTTCATACTGTTATCCTTAGTACACTTAAGTGCTCATCCAGGTATTTCTCCTCTGTTCCAGATCACATATCATCTGTTCAACTTCCAGATCACATATATTGCAAGGCATGATTGAAATTGTCAGTTTGTCACTTTGGTTGTTTTCTCATTTGATTGATCTAAAGAAACTTAATGAAAAGGTTATTTCAAATTCCAACAAGACTTTTGATTGAACTTAAGAACGTTATAAACTTGGTCATATTAAAAAACCAGAAAAGATACAAATCTACCTACATCAAAACACTGCTTATAATTTTGAGATCTTTTAAAAAAAATTGAAAGCTCTTCCTGAGAAGCACATCTTAGTGTTTTTTTTGTCAAAAAAAAATGAGATTTGAGGAGCTGGGAGATGTGCCTCCCTAATGTCAACACTGCCACAATTACTTTACCAGTATCGGTATCGTAGCGGTATCAGGGATGCAGCAGTGAGTCTACTCCGACTCACTTGCCGCGCAACCTGGCCCGGTACTCCACTTGAGTACTGAGACACGTGAGTTACAGAGAGACGCTGGACTCCACTCTCAAACGATGTGAGAGTCAGGCATGAGTTCAAGACTCAGCTTGGCCCCGTATGTAAGTACTACAGTGGCTAAGTACTCACTGAGTGAGTAGACTCACGTGAGAGACTACTCAATATGAGTATACTCATTGTTGATGAGATCGAGTGTACTCATGAGTATTGAGTACACTCAATTGGATCGGTGTAGCAAACTTATTTGCGGAGGTGATAACAAAGGGTCATGTATTTCAAATTTCTTAGATATTTTTGTAAGAGAGGGGATATTCATTTGTTAAACTAAACCTCGGTTCAGAGGGAAAAACAATAGAGGACAAAAAGGGCGGGCCCATTCAAAACAACGCGTGACTCAGAGTCAAAGCAGACCAAAACAATTCCACATGTCTAAGCTACATCCTCCACATTGACAGTTGACTCCCAATTCGCAAGCCAGTGTCGAACGAGTACAAGGTGGCAAATCGTCTCTGGGTCAAGGCGGCCTCGGGAAGGGACGGCTATGTTGCCTGAGATAGAGAAGACCCTCTCAACTGATGCGCCAGCTGCCGCAATTGTGAGGTGTTGAAGGGCTATCTGAGCCAACACTGGTAGTCCCAACGGCTTGGACATACGCTGAAATGAGGACGGTGGTCAGCTTGGTTCTTTCTGCGCGCTGAAAAGATGAAACATCAGTAACCACCCAAAACTCCCCAATCGTTTCATTGGGGAGTACAGGATCCAGGCGTTGTAAGTATTGCGTTACTTCGTCCATTTCTTGACTGGAATTGCTTGAAGGTTGAATTGCCGAGGTACCCAATAGAGAGTATATTTCTTGAAGTTTCTTGTGGGTGGTTTTAGTTGGCTGAGCAGGAACAGGAGGAGGGGTCTCGCGGCCACTTTCCGTGGGGCTGGGCTTCCAAAGGTCGTACTCGTCTCGAAGGGAGCGCTTGGCCTGGACTTCAACCTCTAGATGATTACGAAAGATTGAGTCTCCCTGGACAGGATCCAGGAGGGTTGCCACCAAGGTCTGCATGTTGCACTCTTCGCGGTCGAGATACTTCACTAGCTTGTCTTCCGCTCGTTTGCAAGCTTGGCCCCAAGCTCCTGGAACACTCTGGTGTTTCTGCAAAACCGTCTGAAGCGCCCAGAGTACAGGAAGAACTAATTGCTTAGTTGCATCATTGGATTGAAATATCTGAGTGGCAGTTTCGAACATCTCTAGAACAGGGTGCATATACTCGATAGTTGACCAGTCCGCCTTCGAGATGGCCAGGTGAGTCCGTTTCGGGTCCGCAGTGTAGAGTTCAAGTGAGTTTCTGAGGTTGAGGGTTTGTTGTACCTGAAATGAATTAACGTATGGTCAGACTGGTACAGGTAAAAGACGCATTTGCCAAAAGTGGGGCACTTACGACATAATAGAAATAATTCCAGTGAGTAGGAGGGCAGCTGAGGGGAAGAAGTTGCGGATCTTGGACTTCATCGCAAATCTTAATGAACGACTCGAGCTCCTGAGGACTTTTTCTGATGTGGGTATCCAAGGCACGGATGCGGGTGACGATTGTTGACTTTTTCTTGCGGGCGGTGAGGAGGACAGTTGGCGAGTCTTCTAAGTGTCCCTCTTCTGGGCCAGCGGTTTCTTCGTTAGTCAGATGGGATAGGTCGACATCGGAATTTTGGGTCTGGGTCGGGCCGTGGACCTCGAGGGAGGACTGAGATAGCGAAACAGAGTTTTGAGCCCACGAGTTGGTGACAGGTACGTTGTAGTCGCCGGTGATAGGTAATTCATCAGTTTCAAAAGACGCGCGCGATTTGGCCATGCCCGAGGTTTCATACCTGGCAAGATCCTTGTCCGTTAGCTGACCCATACCGTCCAAGAAGTCCTTTGCCACAAGATTGATCACGTGGCACATGCAGCCATGGAACCTCGATTCAAACGGCCAGTGGATTCCAAGAGTTGAATATCAGTCGCCTAAAAGTTTTGCCATCGAACGGTTTGAAGAGGCGTTGTCCCCGGTAATGGAGTAGTGATTACAAAGTGCGCCAACATGCTCCAGCGCCTTCCAGAACACCTTGGCCAGGTTGTCACCTGTATGTTTCCCCTTGAGTTTCTGACACATTGGGAAATAAGGCTTGTCAGGCTTACAATTCGTAAAATTGATTCGTAAAATCAGGTCAGATGAGCACTTACTTTGAAAGCAAGGAGCCGACGACAGAATTTGCCTTCCGAGTTGAAGAAAAAGCCATTGATAGCCATGTAGGTATGAGAAAAGTCAGCGCTGGTCCAACAATCCGTCGCAGTTGAAATTGAACCGGGAACCAAAGCAATCTCGTCCAAGAGTTTTCGTTCGAGATCCAAGAAAAGAGCCTCGGAATCAGCTTTGACAGCCATCCGAGCTGGCCAATAAAACGATGGTGCAATAGCACAAAGGGCCTTCTGCATCAACACGCCCTCAAAGATAGAGAAAGGTAAATTCTTGCTAATGACGGCTCCGACAAGCAGAGTTCGTAACTCTTTTTTTTGATCCGCGGCAACAATCGGATCGCTTTCCGGTTTGATGGCTCCAGGATTGTGGTTGTACCAAGCAAGCGCCAAGCCGGGACACTTGCATCTGTGCTTGTGCAAGTTCGAATTGGGCCGGCCGGAAATCGAGAGCACAACCCTGCAAATAAGCAAGAACAGTCAGTTTCGAACAGTCAGTTTCCCATAAGTGTAGCTATGGAAATCTGTATGTTCACTTACGGACAGTGAAGACAAGCGTACGACATCACGCCCTCAGCCTTGGACTCGTCTGGCGATTTTTGTGGCTCCTAACAGGGTAAGTCGGTCAATTTCCCACATGTTCAGCATTTGAGTTGGGTGTGTAAGCAACCGGGTCTTGATAACTCACATCGAAGTACAGATAAACGTCTGATCAGTGTCGGTGAGATCTCAACGTCGCCTCCTTGCCATCGAAGTTGGTGGTATCTTGCACGATAAAGGATTTCGGTCGCGATCTTGGAGTTGCATCGACTCGGTTGGAAGACGATGGCACCCGTGAACCCATTCCAACACCGACACGAGTCAACGGCGTGATACGGGAGGCTGAGACGGTACGCGACAAGGAGTTTGGGGTCACACGACGAGCATAGGGAGAAACCATGGTGGGAGGAGGAGATTTGGCTATGTTTTGAGGCATGCTGGCTAGGTATTTGGCAGGTCTAACAATAGAGAAGCGGATATAATCACAATTAGGGAAGTGGAAACAAACGCCCGGGTGAGAGTAAAAGAAAATCGAACCAGAGAAAATCGCAATGGGAGAAACATAAGGGGGAGTCGTATGAGCAAGAAAAATATAAATATGTAAACAAAATCGCTTACCTGAGGTCATACGACCAATCCAAAAGCCCAAAAGCCTCCATATGAGCATTCACCCAAGCCAATGCCTGCCACAACACCTCGATCTGGCCGCCAGGATCTATAGAATCTGCTCCCATGATTCGATTGATGTTAATGAAATGAAATCAGAGATAAATACTATTCAAATGACTAGTCTAGAATGTCGAGTCTACAACGTCAAGCCACTCATCGAGAGTTCAAAGGCCAAACGGATGGATGGAATGAGGATAGGGCCTGAAGAGGGATTGCGAATGTGGAAGGTGTGGAAGTGGGCAAGACGTGGTTGATTGAAATTCGATATTGAATTTATGGATTCGAGGTGGTGGCGGTATCTTGACAGGCGTATTAGGTGATATCGATTTGATGGTTGATAGATAATCAAGATGAATCGATGAATGGGGATCCGGTGGAGGCCTTGTTTGGGTGAGTACACCACGGGGCAGCCTTTGAGCGAAACAGGGCTGCCAGGGTGCGGTGAAGGGCTACGTGAATTTCACAGAGCTGCCGACTTGAATCACAGGTGGAACCCAGCGATGTTGAACGCTGTGCGAGTTCGAATCGCATGGATGCAATGTCGCAGCCAGCAGCGGTGAAACCGCGTTACAGTCACGTCGCGATCCGTGGTGAACAGATTCACGTTGGCCACGCCGATCGCCGCGTGAACATCGCATCGGCTCTGCCCACGATGAGATCACCTGAGGACCTCATTGTAGCCATATAGAGCAGGTGACCTTGGGCACCCTGAGCAATCTGCGTTTTGGATCAAGAACTTCAATCCCAAGGGTTTCCGCGGCTTGTATCACAAACCAGGGAACCAAGTCCAGGAGTTAGGGCGTTTTGAAAATTGACCGAGTGGGCATGGCAGGCACAGTTGTTTCAGGTCAAGACCCTTTCGGTCCAGTTTGAGATTGACCCAGTCATAGAGGATGTTTTCGAGTGGGAACAATCTTTGTCCCATTTGTTGAATATCCATCAACAACTAACATTCAGAATTTATTCTCCTTCAAATCATCGTTTTGTTATCTTTCAATTATTCCTTCTTCTATCACGAGAATCAATTCATCGATTTTTTGATTATCATCTCAATCACCCTCTAAACCCAATTATCATTGTTCAGAGCATTCTAGGTGCTTTTTTCCTCCATCCATTGTTTTAAACTGTGACACTTGCAAAGACTCCTGCTTCGAACCTTGAGCTCATCTCGACGCATAACCCTGAAGCTAAAGTTTGAGCAAGTGTCACAGATTTAAAATAATGGATGAAGCGATTAAGAAACCTAAACATAAGTCTCCGAGTACCATTCTTTCTCGCAAAAATCGTACCAAACGGAAGAATGCTGAGAAAAAAAAACAAGATTGCCCACCACCCAACCATCGAAGTGCCAAGATTGCTGAGCTCACTGAAAGATATGGTCTGCCACCCGAAACAAAATTCCTCTTTTTCAAGAAATTTGAAAATCCTCCTTTTAGAATCTATCATGGAACCGTTGTTTGTCTCAATGCCGACACCTCTCAATTATTAGGGGTTTTTCGATTTGTTGAGCCAACTCCTGAAAATGTGGCTCTTTTTGAAAAGTACAACCATTCAATTTCAACTGTCTATAAACACACTCGAGCACGTGGACTTTGCAAGACAAACGGTGCTGCCAAAAAAGCTAAAGCTGATCGAAAGAAGTATGGCAAGATGTATTGTGCTGGTTTCAGGCCTGGATTTGACCGGCTTGTTAAAGCAGGTTAGCTTATTTCTCTTCAAATTATGTTCAATCAAGCATCAATATTAATGACATACTCTTTCAGCTACATATGCTTTCAATGCAGCCACAGGTGGAAAGCTTTGGAAAATGCAAGAAGATCTCACTCGTCAAGGAAATCTCCCAGCAATTGAGGACTTCTTTGCAGAACAATTTTCTGGATCATCCTCCTATGCTTTTAAATCTAATGCTGAAATTGCCGCGAGTACTGGTGCACCTTCTTGGGCCGGACAATTATTTTATGTCTCACCTAATGCGCAAGTCTTTGCTTTAAACATCGCTGTCACCTTTGACGAGTTTGTCAATGCATCTCATACCGACAACGATATTACTCAGTATGCCTTTGGTTTTTTCGCACGTATCAATCGCCAAACTGGGAAACTGTACTCTTTAAAAAACGATGAGTATCAAGGAAATGTTGTTGGTGGCAGTTTTCATTTGGACGACTACAACATCACAGTTGATTACGATGCATGTGATGGTGTTGTTGAGGCACTGTGGGCCAGCCACATTCATCACCACACTTCGGCAGCAAAGACTTACGATGTCAAAAATGCCAAAGTTGTCCCATCAAGAGGAAAAGTCACTCGCTTTGGCTGTGCTTGTCAGATCAATGAACGTTTGGTAGAAAGAATCAGTCAAGTCAACAACTTGCGTGGTGAGATGGATGATGAGGAATGGGAAGAGTATTGTAGAACTGTATTGACTGGCTATCCAGAGGAGGCACGCAAAAAGATGACAAAATTGGCTGAGAAACATGGTATCGATGACCTTAGTTTGATTTTTTCTCCCTGAAATCTTATTTCTCAAACACTGCTTGTTTTCCTTTTTTTGAATCTTTCGCCTACATTTTCATGCCTACAAAATACTATTCTATCAATTTTAAGCCTTGCTTCGCATCCATATGGGATACTTTTCCAACCTTTGGCTCATGTTGAGCTAGATGTGGATGAACAGAAATGATATTCACTCCTTGAAACAAGGAGTGAAATAATCGTGAACATCCTGCCGATCCTAATTATCAAAATTTCCTTGTACTGCACGTTTTCAAGATTTGTATTGAAATAACATTCAAAAAAACCACACAAAGTTTGATGTGGCAAGTTTTGAACAAAGTAAGATTGATAGAATAGAGGACTGTGGGAAATCAAGCAATCAACAAATCCTGTGCAAGAATGAGTCAGTTTAAACAAAACATTCCTTTTCCAATCATCCAGATCTGAAAGATAAAGCTCACAATCCATATCGTACAAGTCTTTCTTGAAGAAAACCTCTATATTGAGTACCTTGAAGATGGCTTCAGAAGCCGATAAATGTAAGCTAACATATGTGATTTATGTGTTGTAATGAAGTTTATTTTTTGATCCGTTGATAGATTTCGATAAACTACCTGGAAGCAACAAATTCCAATGTTGGCTTTGCAAGGGTCGGGGTTTCACAGATAAAGCAGGCCATTCAAACGGTAAAACTCACAAATCCAAAGTTAAAGGTGCAGAAGAAGCTCAGAGAAAAAGGAATATTCGAGTAGCTGGTTTAACTGCTGAAGATCGTAGGATGGTGGCAGATGATGTGGGGTGGGATGCGCTTGCGGACGATATTCATGTGCCTGATGCTGGACCAGCAAACGAAATCGATGAGGCCAATGAAGTTGATATGACAGCTTGGCTTCAGGCTGCCAGTCCAACTGGAAACGAATCTGACAAAGAGGATCTAAGACCTTTCAACTGGCAAAACTTCCTTGCACCTCCCCATGATGACGACCACAACAGCATCAACAGTGAAGAAGATGATGAGGAAATAGAGGAGATCCCTCTTGCTTTGGAAAATGATGATGATGAAGAAGTAAACAAATGGTACCCTTTTGAAAAGAAAGAGGTAATTAACTCGCTTTCATTACCATGATTTGCATGATGATGCTAACTCTGCAATCTAACTCTAGCATCTTATGGGTCTGTTGTTCATGGGTTCAGTGAGACGGACAACATCCTGTCAAGACTATGAGATAACTCGAGTGAGAGTGAAGATAGGTGGGATTAATATACCCAACTGGGCATCAGTTCGTAAAATTCGTAATGATCTTCGCAAACGATTGGGACTCAACGTTGTACAGAATACAAGCCCCCTTGGCAATCCTTGCTTTAGCTTGGACATTCAAGAAATCGTGGCGCAGGTGAGTAGTTATTGTTTTCTGATCTTATTAAGTTTAACAATGGAACGAGTTATTGATCCATAAATGATTCCATATGCCTACTTACAGGAGTTAGCTAATCCTATAGTACGGCCACACTTGATGTGCATTCCTGAGTCGTCTGATACCGGTCATGTGAATCGGCTATCACAATCATGGAAGTGGAGAGCTGGTTTGTCAAAGAAACTTAGAGTGCAGATGATTGAATATAAAGATAGCCATTACTACATATATGAGCCAGCTCAACTTTCAGACGGATGTATTGTAGCACCAATCTTTTTCTTTCAGAATGAGAAAGGTATCATGGCAAAGTGTTTAAGAATAGATAGCTCAAAAGATAAAGATACTGGTGATATAATAATGCGGATGCTAGATGAACCTGAATTTGAATCAGATAGATACAGAACTGTTGAAGTGAAGGATTTCAGGAGGTGTTATACTGAGATAATGTTGGATGATGGTAGATTACTGAAGGATTGTGGGGTGTTGAAAAGCGGTGGTATGATTTCATTCAACTGTGTCCAATTCCATTGCAATAATGGGCTGAAAACATGAATTTGCATTTACAGGTAATACTTTAGACAAAGCATTTCAAGTTGATCTCCCAAACCCTTGGCGAACACGAGCTAATGGAAAAGTCATACGACATGTTCCAATAACCTTGTATTCTGATGATACATCTGGGAATGTGTCAAAGAAATGGAACAAGCACATGTCATTTTATTGCACGTTGTCAGGATTACCTCCTAAACTTACCAATCAAGAATTCAACATGCATTTCAATTCCACCTCAAATACGGCATCAGCATTGGAATTAGGAGAGTATTTAATAGACAAGATCAAGTGAGTTCACGTTTGATTACATTTGTTGAGATGGATAGATAAATGAGAACAAATCGACATCTTAGTGAATCAAACACCAAAGGCTTTGAGGCGTATGATGCCAGTTCGGACTCAAAAGTGCTAGTCATGCTGGTGGTACTATTTCATCTGGGAGATTCCCCGATGCATGCTGAAATATCTAATACAGTAAACCCAACAATGACTTTAAACCCTTGTCAAGTGTGCAATCTTCAAGTCGATGAAATGGAAGATAAAAAATCTAAAGAATTCCTTGAAGGTTTTTTGGGTGTGGATCATCATGGTAATACTGTAAGTTCATAGTGTCTAAATCATGTAAGGAGATAGTTGGATAGAATGTGTGCTGACAAAAAAAACATGAATCAAAGGTCTCACCGTCTTGCACGCAATTGGCATGAAACTGCGGAAAGAACAAAGGAACTATGGAGGTTGGTTTACAAGTTTGGACAGAAATCTCGAATCAAACAGCTTGCAAAGGAATGGGGAATACAGGATAGCTTAAATGCTGAGTTTATCAAAGTGATAGGTGAAATGCATTCTGCAGATTCATCTCTTGAAGAAATCTATGAAGTTTGGTTGAAACTAGGGGAGGAAATGGGTGACAGATTATTTAACCCCTTTCTAAGATTGGATGGTGCGTATTGATCTGACCATAACATTTTGAATCAATAGCTATTCTTGTAGTTCATTGAGAAAGTGTTATTGAATTTATATAAATACAGGTTTTGACGGTCATTCGGACACCCCAGTTGAGACTCTTCATGTTATACTCCTGGGTATCTTGAAATACTTCAACCGTGAAGCTATGGACGAGATACCAAAATCTGGACACGAGAAGATCCGGGGAAGATGGCAATCTTTTGATTGTAATGGACTCAGTGTTCCCCCTATTCAGCCTAACACGATGATCACATATTACAAGAGCTTAGTTGGTAAGGAATTACGGGCGGTGGTCCAAGCCGCTCCATTTGTTTTATTTGAATTTCTTACTCCAGAGAAGCGGAGGCTCTGGACTTTGCTCTGTCATCTTTGTTCATATGCACTACAGACTAAGATTACAAACACACACAAGTATGAAGAGAACCTTTCAAAGATTGTCAGCCGGTTTTTATTGGAATTGATATCAAGCAATGCTCGATGGTCAAACAAGCCAAAATTTCATATGCTCCTACACCTTGTTGAATCAATTCGCCGATTTGGTCCTTCAAGTCTTTGTGCAACCGAGAAATTTGAAAGCTTCAATGGTGCAGTTCGCATGGCTTCAGTTCATTCAAACCGACAAAGTCCAAGCAGAGACATTGCTATCACATTTGTCAGCCCTGGGTACATATACATGTACCCAAAACTAACTTATAATATTAGACTTTTACTTATAAACCTAATTACATGTACATACATTTTATAAAACACATGTAACATATAATAAAACATATACAAACATCAATTACATATGTATATACACTTAAAAACATATGTAACATGTAATAAAATACCAATTACACCTCATAACTCAGTGTCAAGAGTTAAAATGCTTATACTACATAAATTACATAACACGTAAATGTAATTATGTTATACTAATAATAATAATAATTAATAGTAATTATTAAACCCTAAACCACAGTGATGATACAATCAAATATCACTACAAGTAGGTTTGGAGAGGAGGATATATAAACCCCGCCTCTCTCAGCCTTCAAGGATTTTCCCTCAAGAATTTTTTTACACACATCTTTTAAAGAACCCTTTAAAGTTCCTTTGAAGTACATAATCAAAAGTCTTATAAATATAAGACTAGTGATTCACTTCATATCTTTAAAGTAGCTTCCTGACTAAAAGATAAAGTAATCTTATCCTTCATCCTCTGGATCCCTACTTCCCCTAAGTAGAGCACCCTATCAGGTTAGTAACCCTCCAATAAACATCAGGTTAGTTACCTTCTGAACAACTACAGGTTAGTAACCTATATCAACTCACAGGTTAGTGTACCTTCTGAACAACTACAGGTTAGTAACCTATATCAACTCAAGGTTGGTGTACCTTTGGAACAACCATAAGTTAGTGACTTTATAACAACTAGATTTGTGACCTCATATCACTCTTCAATCAGTCCTTTTGAAGATTGAAGGGAAGCCCTGGATCCAGCTTCCTCATTCTTACAAGAAATAACCTCCTCTTCAGGAGTCAACTAGCTGTAGTCATTCTGGTCTCATCCAAACCAGACCTGTCCTATTTCTCTTACCTTTCTCTTTTATAATTTTATTGTAATTACCTTATATTTGCAATATACCTATAATTATATAAAATTATAAACCCACCTATCCATCCTTAGTGAGCCTTGAGTACCTTTTTAAATACTCAACCCTCACAACATTCAACAACTTGAGGCTATTACGATTGATACTATCAGGTTCAAGATTCAAGGATAGAAGATACAACTCGATGAGGAGAGCCGGATCTGAGGTATTAAAGGTTTTTGAACAAAACCGAGTCATTCAGCAGATTTTTGGCTGGGATCAAGACTGGGATAAAGTACCCGAATTGACTGCACATTGTAAGCTTCATGGAAAAATCTCAATTTTGAAATGGAAATGCGTTCATTTGTTAATAAACTTGATCTCACATTTATTGAAAGTCAACAAATCAAATTCATCAGTAACAGTACCGGATGTTCAAATTTGTTTCATTCCTATTCAGCTAGAGGACCCTGATGATCAAGTGAAGATAGGATATGTGAACCAAATTTGGGGTGATCGCAAAGGAGGACAGCATCAATGTTATGCTGAATTAACTGTCTGTGACTTGACCACCCAACTAATACCTTTTTATGGGATGCGAGGCTTGGTTAAAGGAAGCAGGAAAGTATGGGTCAAGGGTAAAGTGGGTCTTTCAATCTATATTTGAAAAACACCAAAAGAAAAAGCTAATACTTTACCTCTTGAACAGGCAATCTCGTGCGTGTTAAATGTGCAACATGCATGTGCTGAAGCAGGATGTGTGGTTACATGCTCAAAGCCCAGAATCATTGAGCGAACAGTGACCTCAAGTGGTCTGCCAATGACTTCTCATAAAGCAGATAATATGTATATCCTTAATTCTGCTTCTTTGTATTCGCCAGAGGTACATCGTGAATTGGCAGGAATTAATATTACTGAGGTATCTCCAGAAGAATGGAAGGCAGGCATTGAAAAAAGTTTGAATGTTTGGAGGAGTGAAGGTAAGAAAGGGGCAAACAATCCAATTTTGGCCGAGTAAAAAATTATGAGTTTTATTCTCTTTAGTGTTTGGTTAGAACAAAAGATTGAAATTTTTATCAATATATTAGCAGCTGAAGTTTCAATGAATTCTTGATGCACAAGTTTTTCAAAGGGACGTAAATTATTTTGAAACATATCACTTGAGAATGACAAAGTCAAACATTTGAGAAGGATTTTGATCACGTGGTCTGTGAACCACTCAGATTCATCACCGGTGACAGCCTTGATTTCTGTGACGTCATATATAATCAAGAATTCTGACTCCCATTTATGAAATCTCTTCTTTACCATCACTCTTCTTCACCATTGCCTCCAATTCAACCATGCCTCCAGCTCGTTTGTTTTCCATTTTCAGATTTGAATATCTCCTCAAGACCTTTGGACTGACTTTTCCCTCTTCTCCTCTGACCTGACTCGTTGATATCTATATTTATTGATATCATCTCAATGCTTCAAGCCTCTGCTTTTCAAGCACGCAAAACTGGTTTCAGTCCATATCCAAATCCAAACCCAAATCCAGGCAACAATGAGATTGGTTCTTACACAGGAGGCAAGTATTTTGTTCTACTTTCCTCTTCTTCTTGCTTAACTTTTGGTCTTCATTTTTTTACCTTTCAGCTGGATCGTTTGGTCATTCAGGTGATGGGGATGGTCAATCTGATGACCATGTTTCAGACTTAAACGATCAAAATTCTGCTAGTGGACTATTCGAAGACCCTAACAATTCCACCGACACATCTCTTTCTGGTGCACCTGAAACTATGTCACCTTTTGAGAGTATAATGGATACTCTACCGGTCAATGTTCGCAATATGGTGACCAGGATTGTTGAGGTAAGTAAGATACTTACATCATCTTGTCTTTGTATCCACTGATTGATTGAATCTTTCAACTTGGTTCTTATCACGTAGGGTACTGACGATTCAGAATGCTTTGCTGTGAATGTTGCAATGATGGCTCGGCTAGAACATCTGTTTATGATTCATACAGAAGTACAGGCAGAAAACTCCAATGCCAGCTGGGCTCCTGTAGATCGTTTCAAGGTATCACTATTGTTACTCTCCGCTATCTCAATTGATTACTTCCACATCTAATCACAATATACATTTCCCAATCCTTGTGTAGGATTACAGTCGTAATTTGTGTGCTCAATTTTTCATTGACCCCACCTTAGAGGCATTTACTACTCTCCTTACGGATGGCCCCAATGGTCAAAATAATTGCCTTGAGCGCCGAGTATTGGTATGTATCTTTGAAATTATCTGTGCTCTGTGTTGATTTCACCCTTTAAACCATCACTCTTTCAGTCTGATCTTCTCAGCAAAAACGCCGAGGGTATACGAGATGTTCTTCCTAAAAACTATGCTGGCGAGGATGGCTCAAAGGGGGGTGCTGCCGTATCAGTTGCTTTGAAAGAGATTGAACGAAATGGACGGAGTACATTTAGAAAACAAGTACGTTATTGATTATTCCTTATAGATTGTCTCCTTTATCTTTCTTTTCAAAAGATTTACATCAGTTGGATTCCCAATAAGCTCCTCCACAACGTGTTGCCTATCAAAGCAGTGGCACCGAGTGTTCCTCCTTTCAACCTCAAGGATTTCTGTGGCTATGTAATTCAGATTTTCTCTACACGCTCAGCACTCCATGATGAATTTGTCACTCACCACTCAGATTGTGAATCTTTTGTAGTTGATACACAAAACCTACCCTAGCAAGAAACACATCAGTGCTGACGCCCTTTTCAACAACTTAAAGCCTGGACATGTCATTCGAATTGCCTTTCTGGTATGGATTCTCTCTCTTAAATTATCTTATTTCTTCCTTACTCTATCACCGTCTCAAAAACAATTGCATTATCTAGCGCTTGGCTTCTGTTTGCATCTACGCACATCCCGGTCAGGATCGCAAAATTTGCCAATGGCAAACAATTGATCAGAAGCTTGATGATATCAAAGAGCAACATTCAGCTGAATTTGCAGAAGCGTAAGTAACTCCTTGTCTTGTGCTTGTTGAAATGCTAGTCAATGTTCTTAGTTTTGTCTTTTACTTCATTTCAGTTTTGGCCGACTGGTTTTGATAAAAGATCATAAGATCTTTGATGGTGTGCGCTTGTATACCAAAATACAAAAATCTTACTCTGATGACCTTGTTTTACCAAACGATGCGGAAGTGCGTGTGGAAGTCGCTTCCCCATCTGAAGTCCCTCAATTCCATCAGAGTTTAGCATGATTGTGACCATGCATCTGTAAAAATACTTTGTCTCCCCCTATTTGTATCCATAGCTTTATCAGACATAGTTTTACCTTTTGGGTGGGAGCGAATGAGAAATTACAATTTTTAGTTCATTTTCTGAGCTTTTGGTCAAGACCAATCCACTCCCTGCTCCTGTATCGATCCAAATTGGATCGGTCAGCAGTTTTTTTTGGATCCCATGTTGAGCTGAGCGATGTCGCAATCATGTGGAGCCAATGTCAGTGCTAGGTGGCAGCTTTCTATGTCACCCTCACCTGGTGAAATCAAGCAGTGTATTCGGATGGACTTCACGCCAATGCGAGCCTGCGACCACCTCACCGTCACCAGAGTGGATGGTGAATTTCTTGAAGCCACAGCAGTGTATTCGGATGGACTCCACGCCAATGCGAGCCTGCGACCACCTCACCGTCACCAGAGTGGATGGTGAATGTCATGAAGCGACTGGCCACATCGCCAGTCGTATCCAGTTGATGTAGTGAAGCACTGTGGTGTTCACATCGCTACCACATGGGCGGTACTGTGAAACCCATGTGGTTCATGGTTTGTGGTCGCCACGTCACAGGCCTCTCGTGAATGACACGTGAACCACTATAGAGCCCAATGGCGACGTGGAATCCACGCTGCGACTGCCCCGTGGTGTATATGGTGAGTATATACTCATCCAAACAAGGTGGCCGGGGAATGTGGGTTAGTGAGTCTTTGGCCCGGATGAAGGGCGAGATTGAGTACGTGTATTCTATGTACACATCCTACTGAGTTTTCCGAGGTGGAGTACGACTCATACAGTCAACTCCGGGAGTACATGTACTCGCGTACGGGGCCAAAACCCGTCCTCAGTGCGTATGAGTTGGGTATACTCATACTCACTGCTGCATCCCTGAGCGGTATCGTAGTTTTTTTTTGGGTATCGTATTGTCAGTATCAGTATCGCAGCCACAATACGGTACTGCCCGATCCTCCTGGCAGTATCGCGTATGGCGTTATTTTACTTAGTATTAGGGGTTGGGCGAAGCGCTGCAATGATTCAATTCAACTGTAGTTTGAATTCCCTTGCAAGACAATCAGCCACTGTTCAAACCGATTCAAACAATATCAAAAATCCCTATTTTTTTGGACGACTTTATGGCAGCAAAAAAAATAGGGTGGCGCAGCACGTAACCCAACCGTCTGTTGGGTTATCTGTTCAGATATTTCTCCAACTTGCCAGCCAAAAGCCTCTGGTAGACCAATGAGGTTAGCCTGAGACGCCTGTCACAGATGCCACTGCCCCGAAACTTGGCTGCCTATGAAAAAATTGTGTTGGTCAAGGCAGCTGGACACGGGATAAACCTGTGATATCTCAGGAGCTCTAGCTTGAACCACTTTGGGCGACTTCGATGGTCTTCGTGTGGCGGAATCCTATGTCGGCCAAAGTTGGTCGAATCGTCGCCCAACCCCTATTGTATCGCCCCCCGAGTACGATACTGGAATGGGCCCAAGGAAGTATCGAGTACAAAATCTCTATTGATTTTGTGTCTGGGAGTGCAATACTACGATACAGTATCAGTATCTGATCGGTATCGTGACAAGATACGGTACTAGGTATTGGGCGGCACAGTATTGCCGTTGCGATACTTTACTGAGTATTGTATTGTGGGTACAACTACGTTACTGAGGCTCAGTTTCTCTAGTATTGTAGACCCGTTACTTTACTGAGTATCGTCGATACGATACCAGTATCGTATTTGTGGCAGCGTTGCTAATGTGCAACAAGCTTTTTCACCTCTTGTTTGGTCTTATTAGTAAAACCAATTGTGCAAGATCACTTTTTTCCAAAAAAAATGCTTTTCAGAAAGTTCTGGGTAAGCAGCTACCATTGGTATACTGAAATTTTGAGGCCAGAGGGAGGATGTTGAGTGGAGGTGTTGAGTGCAGAGCTACCCCTTGTTACTGCATCCATAGTGAGTGCTCTGAGGTGAAGGAAGCTGGTTGACTTCGAGAAGTAAACTGCGATGAATTTAGTCATTTTTATAAGGCACCCACAGTCTCCATCATCCATGGGAATATGGTGGGAAGCCATTTTGTTGACATCGACAACAATGTGGAATCGAAATGAAAGTTGAAGGATTAAATGAAGGTTATGCGTTTAAGACCGCGATAAACCCATAGGTCTGATTATGTAAATTAAACTTCCAGCTCATCGATCAAAGCCATCGAATGACTCAAAACCCATAAAACCAAAAAACCAAACCAAACAAACAAAGACCCAAAAACCAAAAACCAAAAAACCCACCTCAGCTCAGCAAACCCAAATTTCCGTCACGATGCGATCAGTAACTCTTTTCTCATGGCTCTTCAGTGCATTGATGGCTTATATTCTACATATTTCTATGCCAGTCAGAGCACTTAAAGGTCCTATGATCGTGTCTCAGTAAGCGATTCTCTTTCATTTCCTTTGTTCTCATCATATTGACCATCTTCAAACTCTTGAATTTCTGTGTAGAGTTTATTTTGATATTGAACATGGTGGAAAGGTGAGTCATGAAAATTATGGTCATGTCTTGTTGATGAGATATTCAAACCTTTTGTTTTTCGATTTTCTTCTAGCCTTTAGGTAGAATTGTGATTGCACTATTTAAAGGTACACCAAAGACAAGTGAAAACTTTAGGGCTTTAGCTGTTGGAGATCAAAAATCAGAAGCAGGTGTACCACTTCGTTATAAAGGATCTAAATTTCATCGAGTTATCAAAAGTTTTGTAAGTTTTCGAGGTTTTGGATTTCTTCTTTGGAATCGTGATCGGATCAAAATCATTTGAGAGTTTGGTTTTTGATTTGTTGACGTCATCTTTGTTGGAATATGTTAATGCTTTAGATGATCCAAGGTGGTGGTAAGTTTGAAAATCGTCATCACTTGACTTGAACCGTTTCATAACCTTCTCAAACTTGTTTCAAACTTAACTTATAGATTTTACTCGAGGTGATGGTACTGGTGGTGCCTCGATTTACGGATCAAAGTAAGTGATCAGGAATCTGACTATTCCTATACTTAGTAGTCTAATCATGGTGATTTGATCTTAAAGGTTCAAGGATGAAAACTTCAAATACAAACATGAAGGCCCTGGTACGCTTTCGATGGCCAACTCTGGACCTGACACCAATGGATCTCAGTAAGACATTCCTTTTTAAAATTTTGGATTGATTCGTGACAGTCTTATCAATCTTTGATATCCTATACAGGTTCTTCCTTTGTACTGTTGTCACTTCTTGGCTCGATGGAAGACACGTTGTCTTTGGAAAGGTGATCCAAGGAATGGTATGTGTGATCATTGATTTGAACGTATACTTCAAGGTGACAATTTTCAAACTGATGATCCTTGTTTCCATTGTCTTAGGATGTGGTCTTTTCAATTGAGAACGTAAAGACCAACAGTGGTGATAAACCAGTAGAAGACGTAGTCATTGTTGATAGCGGTGAAATGGTGATCGACAAGAAAGTTGATGCAGATGGAAATGAGGTGCCTCACCGTGTAGAATTATGATTACGTGATTCTCTATTCTCTTCTTCTTTCACCGAATTCCATTTTCTCTTTCTCTTCTTTCATAAAAAATGGGAATGTGATTCCGAGAAACTGTTGATGGAATCTCATCAACAGTTTTTCACTTTTCATCTTCGAGATTGGTTTTATGATAGTTCTTTTTTTTCAATTTGGTCAACTTTTATTGAAATCAAAACCAAGATTTAAAAAATCTATCTAACTTTGATCAGGCGTGATATCTTTTGAAATGCCGTTAGATTGAAACATTATAACCAAAACCAACCCTTCTTCTTTAGCAAAGTGACACCATTCTTTTGAGATATTTTAAAGTTGAAAGATCTGATTTGCTTTTTTTTTCTTTTTCAAAAAAAAAACCTTTTGTTTGTTTAGTTTGAGAAAGTTAAGTTAACTTCTGAAACTACAGTTACTGTTAGTAGTCAAAGTGGATTTCATTTTTCAAGAGAATTTGATGGTTTAAGAAAATGATCAATCAATCAATCGGTCAATCAACCCGTTCTTCTTTTTTTGCCACTTTTTTCTTTTTGTTATGAGTTTTGACTTATTTATTTACAAAAACCATTTCTTTTATAATGTCAGTTTGCAAGTGTTTGTGTTTTGTATTTGTGAGTCTTTCAAGAATCCTTCTAGAAAACCTCATGTTTTGCATGTTGGTTAGTATTTAAACAAATGCTCAAGTAGTATTTTGTTGGGTTTTGCCCAGAGAGTGTGATTGAAAACTTACAGATCCTACCCAGACTACACTCTGTGTTGGTGAACCTACAACTGTTTCATGCCTAATGACTGAATGAAGAGATTAAGAGGGAACCTTGCATGTGGCAATGCAAGGCGAAGACAAATATGAGTTCAGGCACATACTTGGCAGAAGGAAGAAAAGGGAAAAAGGTTGCGTAACACATAAATCAGGCAGGGTATGTGGCTGAAGAAGACCCAAGAGAAATGAAAAGGAGAACTCTGATATCTTTGGCAAATGGTACATAATTATATGGAGAAACACTCCCAAAGAGAAAATCTATTCTACAATGATGCAGAGCAATGAAGTTGAAGGTTTTACCACAGTAAGTATTAGGGGGGTTCAAGTTAAAAAATTTGAGCTAAGATTATAGGCAACTCGAGCCACTTTTTAAGTCTGCTTGGTGCTTAAAAAACACGATGACAGCGTGGACAAGTGCTTATATATAAGTAAAGTTGGTCTAAAGTAAAAAAAGAACAGGCTCTGAAACCTTCTGAAACAAAGGTACGAGAGGCTCACAAAGTGCATTATTTCTGCTGTTATGGATTCAACAAGAGAGAAAATGAAAAAAATCGACCGTTGAGCACTAAAAAAAAGGCCGTTGACACACAATCCAAAGGACGTTTTTTTCTTCGTGGAAAAAAAAGGTCGTCTTGCTTAAAATTATAAGCATCGACTTATAATTCATAAGTTACCCGAGCTGCTTTAGAGCTGCTTGGATGGCTTATAAACAAAACTATAATTTGTGACTCCCGAACATTGCTTAAAATTCATTATAAGTCCATTTTGTTTTAACTTGAACCCCCCTATTTGATGATGACTCATGGGATCAATTGAGAAATAAGGAGCTGGGATGTAAAGGGGAAGTGACGACATGGGCTTCAATTGTGAATCGAGTCTCATCTAAGTGCAAGTGCAAGTATAGAGAGAAGGGGCTTAGGCTTATACAGTGGGTGACTTCATATCCTTCAAGAGTGATGATCTGAGGTTCTCTCCTCATGCTACGTAGCCCAAAGTGTGGCACTGGCTACATATCGGCTTGTTAGTATTTCACCTGATGTATCACAATTCCCGATTATGTCGATTCCCCCTCTTCACTTTTCCACTGGCCCCAGGCAGCCTTTGTACCCTCGGAAGGCAGCTTACTTGCCTTCAAATTAGGACTGTGCTTTGTGGGCACCCCTTTTTGCAAGGTTTCTACCTACTTGTTTCTAGTTTTGACGGTTGCTTGCGCCTCCTGTGCAAGTTGCGAATTGCCCCCCGATGGTCTACAGTATCCACTTGAGTTCAGGATAATAGCATCGAGTTCAAAATTCAGCGCCAGAAAAAGTCTTGAGGATATCACTCGTATTGTCCTCTGCCCCACGTGCCCTTGGATCACAGCCTGCAAGGGACCCAAATCAAACGTGTTTTGAACTCAAATAGAGTCAGACCGAAGCGTTTCTGTCGCTGCCGCTGGACGCATCACCAGCAGACATGTAGGACGAGAAGATTATGTATTTGCTACGGCATCGTTCCCCACACCAGTGCGCGGGCCAGCATGAAACCATTTGGGTGTGATATAGTGAGGTTCAGATTAAGAGGGCCGTATTGCAGTCAGAAAGTCCCCACGCCAATTGCGTGCCTCTGATCTCTATCCCAAATCAACAAAACCATGAAGCTATTCGCATACTCGCTTCAACTAGCTTTGGCTATCAGTCCAACCTTCCCTACATTGGCCATGGATACTTTCTTGAAGCAAAGGGGGAAGCCAAAGATAGCTGAACCAAGTCAATTACAAACAGGAATGGTGGAAAAAACACGCTTTGATCACCACACCACCACAGGGCCCATACCGCCACAACAAGATGAGATACCTTATAAATCTGAAGTCCCTCCAGCTCCAGAAACAAAACAGAACCTCAAATCTTTTGTTACGCCAGGATCACTGGCTGCCAAGCATGGTGTTCGTACTTGGGACCTGGCCACGAGCAGCGAAATGTACAACTTTGTTCAGAAAGCCCAAAAGCATATCTGGAGGCCACCGCCTCCAACAGATAACTCATTCACAGCAGAACTTTCGTCGTGGATTGACACTGTGGAAGAAGCAGTAGGTATCTTAGGAAGAGAAGAAATCTCATTTGTAGACAGGTTTAGGAATCTAGGACTTCTTACAGAAATGTTGAGAGTGGTTCCTTTGCAACCGCACGGTAAAGAGATATTAATGAAAGGATGGCCCGATCGCCTAAAGTTGGAGCTAAAGGCTACTCAAGGTCTGTGAATTACGCTTGATGATGTGTGAAAAATCATTCAATGATAGTGTATCTACAAATCGACGCAGGGTATGCTGAGCCCATCGCAAAATACCTACTGAGATACGCTTACAATAAACATGAGGAGGAGGTAATGGGGTGGTCTGGTGAGTTAAGCTTCAAAACTCGAGCGTTTATGATGGAACTGATATGAACCAAATCTATTAAGATGTCAATGAGTGTTTTGGTCGGGCAGCACTGATTGGTGCATATCAGAAACGTGTCATGGATGAAGCGCCTGGACAATCCGCAAAGAATATTGATCAGATTATTTCCAGATACTTGATGGAAGCAAGCCTTCCGCAAGAGAAAGAGGAAATAGAAAACTTGATTGTAGAAATGCGCCTCAATTTGAGAGGAGTTTCCTTCGATACTTGGGAAGGAAAATACTCAATAGACATTTTATCGCATCTGTTTAAGCATGCGTCCGCTGTCAAAACCAGGCTACTTGAACTCGAGAAACAAAAGGAATTTTTGAAAGATACCAATTCACCCTATGCCAAGGTAATTCTCAAGGCTTTATCAACAGAACAAAATGTGTCGCCACTCTTGAAGCAGAATATTGGAAAGATGATGAAACTCAAAAGCCAACCATCGGATGAATTTTTGGAGTCCATGGTAAAACATATGCATTCATCGATAGAGTCGGGAGATCGAAATTCTGCTATTCTGATGTACAAATTATTGCAAATTGAAACCCATTACAATCCTGGTGTTGAAGAGAAAATTTACAAACTCTTGTTCGATGGGAATCATGTACCTGATTATTTGGTACAATTGTGGGCACATATACATCCACAATTGACTGTGGAAAAGAAGATATATTTTCAAAACAATCAAATGAAGTTTGATCATTACAAGCACTTTGAATCTGGCCACTACGTCATGATGATTGGAAAAAGTGCGTAGACTCGTAGTAGTCATCCTTCTATTGACATTTGTATATGTACTGACTCCTATCGTAAATTTCAGATTCAAAGTATTTTTTAGATGCCAAGCGACATATCTTGGCACTTGAGATGTCAAAAGTTGAGTGTGAACCTTTCACAAGATTGTGTGAAAGTCTTAATTCCTTGACGGTCAAGCCACATCAAGATATCCAGAAAGATTCAATTGAAAGAATTTGCAAGGAGGTCCAAGACTGCATTGAATCCATTGAAGATGATGTGCCCAAAAGATATGCAATGTTAATTGAAACACTTTTGCGAGTTTTGGAATATGAACCCCAAAGCATTGGTCATCTCCTAGAATACATAGATCAAAATGAGTCCTTCAGAAATGGATTGTACCAATGTTTAAACCATATAATCAAGCTTGGGCACCTCAATGAAAAAGCTGCACCACAAATGCTTGGGTTTGTGACACAAATGATAAAGGTAAGTTTTGTACATTCCTGTATTGTTGAAAGATGTAAAATGAAAAATGTTACAATTTGTTGATGATTTCCTTGATGCAATGCAGGCCTACAGCAAAATATGGCCTGAAGGGTTTCCTATTGGTAGAATGAATGTGTTTTTTGGACTTGAGGATGAGAATCCTGCAGACAAGGCCAAGAGAATATCAAAAGCAACAGATGATCTGAAGACAGTGATCACAGCAAGTAGATTCTTTTGATCAAGACGCGTGTTTTTCGGCTTTTGTTTGTTGTTTTTCAAAGAGAGTAAATCACTAGCTCCTCAATACTTCATGATGAAGTACGATATTGTAATACTTCCTCTTCTACATAAGGCTACTCTGTACTGCACTCCCCCCTGCCAAATAAAATTTTGTTTTTGAGCTCAGGAAGAGGAACTTCAATACAAATATTTCAAGGAGATAACTAGATTGGAAGTATATGAGGGAGCTCAATCTGCCTACATAACCTCAAAGGTCATCTGAAGCATCTTTTGAATTTTTCCACTTGATGGTCAACATTTGGGACCCAGCACAGACTAGGTACTAGAACCCCCACGGCACCTTAGCAGCTTCCATTTTGGGTACCTAGGACCCTAGGTAAGCTACCTTGGGGCTTGATTTACTCATCCTAAAGCCCTCAGGTACCTAGCCTATGGTGTTATTTATCCATCTGGTGATTTTGTTGTTGAAAAAATGCTCAACAATGAACATGCAGGACCAGTCCCACAGCTGATGGTGAAAGGTAGCAGAGAGTAGCCTGTAGCTACTGTATGAAGTAGAAGAAGCCTGAAAGCTCTTTGTTCCAATGAATTTTCCTCCAAAAACTGGTCCTTATCTTTGCAAGGCTTCTATATATGTCAATAGAATGATAGTGATAGTATTACGCCGGATGATTCTGCTTGCTCTGTTTGAGCAGATATATCTCAAAGAGGCAAAACATGATTTGAAATGAGATTAAACTGCTTCACCCTGGCTATCGTTTTCAATTAAAGACCCCAAGCATCACAGTGCCCATGGGATGTCCACAGTTGTGAAACAGTGCATCAGGCAAAATTTGAAGAAATCCCCCATTCTGCTTTTGGCTGTTGATTGGTACAATTCCCAAGATAACTTGGCTCAAATAGAATTGTGTGGGATCTGAGTGTGATGTGTATCATGTAGCTCAGTTGGTAAATGAACTAAAAAGTTTCATGTGGACCTGCATTTGGATCCAAACATGTTGGATGATTTGAATAAATACAACATGCCATAAATTGACCAGATTCAAATCCTGATACATCCACTGATTTGGGAATGGGAAAAGGTATTTAGTTCAAGCAATGTGACTCACATTTCCCAACACCACATTTCATGTCTAAAGTTCCATCTTCAATCAATTCAATACAAATAATAGAAAATCATGAGGCTATCCATGTACCTGCTTGGGCTAGCTTTGGCTATGTTTGTAGCCTTGCTTACATTGGCAATGGAGGACAATTTGGGAGAAAGAGTGAAGCTCTTAGAAGTAGCTGAACCAGGTCAACAATCAGGAACAACAGAACAAACACAATTTGAGCTTCACACTGCTACAAGGTCTAGGCATCTCCCTTGGTATAAAATGCCTTTTGGATGCAAAGAACCATTGGGTTCAGATTTGAAATCCATCCCCAAATTTCCTGCAACACCAGGCTCAGTGGCCATCAAATATGCCTACACCCCTGGAAAATTTAGGCAGGTCACAGAAATGGACAACTTTGTTGATCATGTGATGGCACTTATCTCAAAGCCGCCAAATCCAACAGATAGATCAATTCATGCAGCCTTGAACAAAGCAACAGTCATCTTGGGTAAACAAGAAACAACAATGATAAACCGCTTCAGAACATTAGGACTTCTCACAGAAGTGTTAGAACCTTGGAAACCAAAGGCTAGAGAGGTATTGATTAACAAATGGCCTGATCGTCTGAAGTTGGAGCTGGAGGCTACACAAGGCAAGTGAGATACCATTGATGTATACGCTTTGACAGAATTCCTTAATGATAGCGCATCTACCCATCAATCTAGAGTACGCTGAATCCATGGCAAATTATCTATTGATAAATGCTTACGTGTCTGATACAAAAAATGTTCTGGATTGGTCTGGTAAGTTTAGGCTTTAAGATCATAGAATTTAAGACATGGCTAATATGAAATGGGAATATGAAGATATGAATGAGTGTTTCCGGCGGGCTCAACTGATTGGTACATATCAGAGTCAGATCAAGGATGCGGCACTTGAAAAATCAGAAAAGAAAATTAACGGCATAGTATCCAAGTACTTGATGAAAGCACAGCTTCCACAAGCAAAGAGAGATGTTGAAGAATTGATTTTGGCAATGCAGCTCAATTTGAGAGAAATCTCCTCCAACACCTGGGAAGGAGAATATTCAATTGATATGTTAGCTCATCTGTTTAAATATCAGTCAGCAGTTCAAACCAGACTGTTTGAGCTTGAGAAATACAAAGACTTCTGGAAAGATATGAATTTACCCCAAGTCACTGCAAGCCTTGAGGCCTTGTCAAAACATGAATCAGAATTTCTGCAGCAGGAAACAGAAAAGTTGAAAAAACTCAGAAGCCAACCATTGTATGGAGATTTGAAGTCCGTATTGGAGAATATGAAGTCATCAATAGAATCAGGAGATTATATGCTTGGGCTTCAGATATATAAATTACTGTATATAGGATGTCACTATAATTCTGGTTTTGAACACCATGTATACAAACTCCTATTTGATGGTGCTCATGTACCTGCTTATCTGGCAAACCTATGGTCTCATATACATCCACAATTGGTTGTTGAAAAGGACATTAGATTTTATCCATACAAGATAATGATCAAAGAACGTGAGTCAATTTGTAATCTTCATGCCTATCCTGTAGCAGAAAATTCAATGCTGACCCTCATACTGACTTTCAGATCCAAATTATTTTTGTGACGCTAAGCGACATATCTTGGCACTTAAAATTTCAGAGGTCAGAAGTGAATCATTTTCAAAGTTAAAGGAAACTCTCAATTCTCTGACGGTCAAACCACATCAAAATATCCAAGAGGATACAATGAAAAGAGTATGCAGAGAGGTTCTGGATTGCCTCCGGTCTGAAATGGTTGAAAATGAAGTTTCCAAAACAACTGCAATTGCAATGGAAACAATTCTTCGAGTCTTGGAATATGAACCCAAAAGCATCACTTATTTTCTGGAATACATGGACCAAGATGAGTTCTTTAGAGATATATTGTATCACAGTGCAAGAGATTTGATCCAAAACAGACCACTAGAAAAGAACTCAGTACCACAACTTTTGGGGTTTATGGAGCAAATTGTTATTGTGAGCTTTGTTTCACTTTCTCAATGAAAAAAGAGCAAGAATAAGATGTGCTTACAGTTTCAACCACAACAACCTAGGCATACAAGGATATATGGTCACATAAGTTTCCTATTGAGATAGCAAACATACATTCTGATCTTGACAAGGAGAAGTCAGAAGAAAAGGTTGAAAAAATAAAGAGAGCAAAAGATGCACTCAAGAGGGAAATCACAGAAAGTCAATTCTTTTGATTGAGGCACATCTTCTGGCATCTTCATCTTTCTCTTTTTGAAAAAATGAATCACAAGACCTTTCTTATCCATAAGGATGTACAATTATTTTCTCTCTGTCCTTGGATTTGTAATTGTATATGAAAAATTCTGAGGGAATCAGATCTTGTTGTTTTCCTGGTTTTGTTCCCAAGTTTTGGCGGAGGATCAACACTTTGTGAATTGAGTTTGTGAAAGTTGCCATGAGTTTTCAAATTGTGAAAAAGCAACCCCTTAAAAAAGAAGATATATCACTTTTTTGAAGACTCCCTGGGAACCTGTACCCTTTGATTAATTTCTTCTCCACTTTTGTCAAAACATGATCTTCATCTTCAAGGTCAATCATGGTACCTCAATCATCAACCTCTTTCCTTTTACAACTCTCCCATATCATGGCCTACAAACTAATCAAAGTTACTCAGCATCTCATACAACTCTCTGGCGACTGTGATGTCAAACATGTATGCATGCAATCTCCGCCCGTAGAATCAGTATCAAACCTGTTCAGCTCACCGCAGCCGCAGAGTCAGCTCCTCAACCTGTGCTGAAAGCTGAGTGCGCGGTGCAGCGTCGATGATTTTTGCCGCGTGGCTGCTATCCGCAGAGCGGTCTAGTGATCTCAATCTTATCCTATACACAAATGGCCGTATATTGAATCAAATACTCATCTCAAATCCCCACGACATTTGCCTTCCACTTCAAATACAATCAGTCAAATCATGAAGCTATCCGTACACATGCTTGGGTCAGCTTTGGCTGTGTTTCAAGCCTTCCTTACATTGGCAATGGAGAGAAACCTTGAGGAGAAAGTGAAGCTTTTAGGAGAACCTGGATCAAGCCAACTATCAAGGATAGCAGAAAAGATAAGTTATGGGCTCCAGACGGCCAGAGGCTCCAAACAGTCCGCAGATAACAAAGAATATCTCCCCCCTAAAATGCAATCCTTGGGAGGGACAGAAACTCGTCTTACACCAGGACATTTGACTATCAAGTATTCCAATCCATTGCAAAACCTTATACAGAGCTCGGAAATGCGTCACCTTGTACCAGATGCCAAAGGGATTATCTTAAAGTCGCCTAGTCCAACACATAGCCTGTTTACGAATGAAATGGAGCATTATTTCAAAACTGTTAACACAGCATTAAACATCTGGGAGAAAGCAGACCTCTGGAAGAAGCCAGATGAGTCAACTATTGAAAAGTTCAGGATCTTAGGACTCCTTACAGAACTATTGAGGGCAGTTCCTTGGAAACCAGAGGCTAAAGAGAAATTGATGCAAAAGTGGCCTGATCGATTAAAGTTGGAGTTAAAGGCTACTGATGGTGAGTGAGAATCAGATACCTTGATATACCTATCTACCGGATTCTCTAATGATAGCCTATTTACCCATTGTTCTAGAGTACGCTGAGATTATGACAATATATCTCCTCAAATACGCTTACTATGAAACTCAAGAGGAGCTTCCGAGTTGGTCTGGTAGGTTAATCTCTGTAACCTTAGAATTGAGGATATAACTGATATCAAATGAACCCACAAAGATGTCCGCGAGTGCTTTGTTCGGGCTCGACTGATTGGTAAACATCAGAAACGTGTCATGGATGAAGCACCTGGAAAAGCCGAAAAGTTTATCAATCTAATTATCAAAAAATACTTAATGGAACCACGACTTCCCCAAGATGAGAACACAATTGAAGAATTGATTGAAAAACTGCGCTCCAACTTGCGGGAAATTCCTTCAGATACATATGAAGGAAAGTTCTTGATTGAACTCTTATTGCATTTGTTTCAGAATCCTTCAGCTGTTCAAACTAGACTGCGTGAGCTGGAAAAAGAAACCAAATTCTGGAAAGACGTTGCTTTACCTCATGCCAGGACAAGCCTTGATGCCCTGTTGAAGGAAAATGTTCAATCAGTTTTTCTGAAGGAAGAGATTGCAAGGGTGAAAAAATTCAAAACCCCACCAGCGTATGAAAATCTGCAGTCCATAGTCAAAAATATGCAGTCTTTAACCGACTCAGGAGATTACAAGTCTGCTATTCAGATCTACAAGATATTGAATATAGACAGCCTCTACCATAGCGGTGTAGATAAGAAATTATACAAACTTCTTTTCGCTTGTGCTCATGTACCTGATTATATGGCAAAATTATGGTCAAATATGCATCCAGAACTGACAGTTGCAAAGAACATGAAATACGAGACCTATGATATGATGATCAAAGAAAGTGTGTCAATTTGTAGTTATCATACCTGTCATCTGCTAGAAAATGGTATACTGACGCCTATGGTGAATTTTAGATCCAGAGTATTTTTTAGATGCCAAGCGACATATCTTGGCACATGAGATGTTAAAAGTGGAGTGTGAAGAATTCTCAAGACTTGGAGAAGCTTTGAATTCCTTGACTGTCAAACCACATCAAGATATCAAAAAAGATTCATTTGAAAGAATTTGCCAAAAGGTTCTAGATTCCATTGAATCTACAACAATTGATGATGATGATATTCCAAAAAGATATGCAATGTCAATTGAAACAATTCTGAGAGTCTTGGAATATGAACCCCAAAGCATCAACTATCTCATTGAATACATGGACCATGATGATCACTTTAGAGAAAGATTATACCTATGTGCCAAACATTTGATCAAGCTTAGACACCTCATTCATAAGGCTGCACCACAGATGCTGGGATTTGTGGCACAAATAGTAAAGGTGAGCTTCATATGTTACATTTCTTTTCATGAACCATAAATTGAAAAATGTCTCCATTTTTACAACCACTCTGAACATACATCTAGTCATATGAGGATATATGGCCTTTGAGATTTCCTGTTCATAGATTGAATGTATATTTCAAACTTGAAGAGGAAAATCCAGACAAAAGGGCTGAGAAGATTAAACAGGCCATTGAGGCTTTGAAGAATGTGATAATGGAGAGTGATCTATTTTGATCAGATTTCAAATTTTGATACCTTTTCTTTGTTGTTACACTACAAATTCAATGCTCTTCTTGGACATGGTGTGGTCCATACTTTGTGTACTTCAGCTTGAGGGTTATAACAGATTGATTTAGAAGAATATAAGCTATAAAATATCCCTGAGTTCTTCATAACAGTTCTAGTATTTATGTACAATGGCAGAGATTAGCTTGATGTTGCCATAGGGGCTACAGATCTGCAGTTGCTTGAGACTGCCTGATGTTCAGTTCCAATAAGGGTGTTTGGGATTGGGTAAAAGGTATCCTATCTCAGGGTTCAATATGATCCACAACATAGCCTCCATCTTCATCAATATTCAAGTTTATTTGGCATTTTTTTGGTTTTTCTTTGCATATGTTTTTCATCCAACAAATTTTTGTAAAACCAATGTATTGGTGATTTGGGACAACTTTTTAGGTGCACTTCTTTGAAAAACTATGCATATTTTACAACCACAGGCAAGTCGTGTATGGTGGGAGACACCAAAGATAAAGAAAGGCACAAGCTGTACCTTCACATGTAGAGCTCTAAATTGCATGTTGAGTTTGATTTTATTCAAATAAAAAAACAAAGAAGTTGTACAATTGTCCCCAAAAACTACTCTTGAGATGTTGTTGATGAGGGCATCTCAGAAGTAGCCCTGGCTCCCCAGCAAGTTGAGATTTGGGGGCTCACATAGAGCTCATATATCAATTGGTCTTTTCCTTATCTTTGGTGTCTCCCATCACAGCTTAGAAATATGTAAAACCTGCCAACTTGAAACCCTCAATAGTGACATCAGAAAAAAAGATGGTAATTCCAACACATCAATGAGAGCTTTGGAAAGTGAATATTTGAGAAGTGAGTTGATGTGAAATGTAGTTTGCCTTAGTAATAATTTCAGGGTGGCTACTATTCAATCAGCTGAATGGGTCTAGACTTACGCTGTTTGAAGACCTGACTAATATCCCGCTGTGTACGTGGGATGATGTATCTTCGATTTCCTGAATGGATTAATCAAAGATAAAGTAAATTTTAGTATACTTCTACAGATTCTCGAAAAGATTCTGACGTATAATTTCTTCCTATAGAAGAATCACAGGCCTACTGTTAGTTAACAGCAGTGGGAGAGTCACTCCTAGACCTGATAGTCTCTCTTAAGCCGAAGCTTCAGAGTAGCCTGATAATCCGGAGAAAATACAGGGATCTCGTACCAACTTTACGTGGCGAGAACTGGGGTATTGACTAAGTAGAAGTTACTTACGGATTAGGAAAGCTAGGATAAATTCAATTGGAAACTTGTTGACAGTAAAGGAGCTGGTGAGTCGGTTTGGTAATCTAACTGGGTCAGAGAACTATGTCGCCTATAGAGATAGAAGATCAAAGGGAGTCAACAACTGGTCTACTAATAACAAGAAGAATTTCCGAGAGAAAGTGAGAATGTATGGTACGTTTATTTTACTAGTATTTCAATCTCTAAGAAGACTTTAACGGGTCCTTGTTAGAATTTAAGATAAGTAAGATGCGATGCCTCTTTCATCCTCTCGCAAGATAGCTTGGTTCTTATAGCTTTCAGGAAATTTGTCCAACTCGTGGTTCTCGTTTGTAATAACCTAGTGAGTCATTTTAGCTAATACTAATTTTTTACGCCGACCGTAGCATGAGTGTTTTCTAGTAAACTTACTTCTTCCATGATGATTATAGTTTGCTTCAGTTCTTTACTCAAATAACAATATTGACGTGAGATCATTATTTTACGTAAGAGGTCACGATGCTTGGTCACTAAGGATCCTTGTTTTACGTAAGGGGAAAGTTCCCTGATTCTTTCTTTGTATACTTTAACAAGGACTCGTATATATATATTAGAGAGTTCTTATCTAAAAAACTTTTCTTAGTTCGTGGATTATTTCTTATCTTTGTTCAATGTTATTCTTCTCTTTTTATTCTTCGTGCTATGGTAGGTCTTGGCATTTGTCATTCGAGATTGTACTAGTCCCTTTATCTAATCTGTCTATCTTCTGTGAATCTTTGAAACTAGATCCGTAAGGTGTTTTCTTTCTAATCACCCTGTCCGTTTGGGCATCGCACGTCGACCTGCGCACACCAAAGAGTGGTTGTAGAAGCTCAATACTCCCTCAAAACAATTTCACAGCCGAAATTACTATTGCCTTTGTCAGAGTCCACAGACGGTGAGAGACTGTCGATTGAACGTCTGATGATCTTCTTTGTTCAGACCATTTAGATAATCAACGTACCTCAAGCGCACAGTCCCTCTGTCTGCCGTTTCAGAAGACACTGCGTCATTGAAAAGTGAACGCCTTTGTTTCCAACCAGAGTTGTCTATCACCTGTGTTCTCACTTACATTAGGAACGTTGAAATTTATTTGTCCCCTCTCAAACTTTGACGAGATATGTTTGACACAACAGAAACAGGAGCGGAATGAGTCTGCTCGCCTATTCAACTGGTCAGCTCACGGGAAACAAGTCTGATACTTTACCGAGACATCACTATCAGGTAGACTCTAAAATGCAGAGTCAGCAGCAGAAACATTCTGCTCGCCTATCCACTTGATCAGATCACGGGGAACTGAGTGTCTAAGACCTTACCAAGACCAATTTCTGGTAGATTTCCACCTGTAATATTGCACAGTGTCAGCGTACCCTCCTCCCTCCACGGAGGTGCTGCAAGAAGCTCGCATCGGGCTGGTTGAGAAGATTGCATGCGAACGGGTTCCGACATAAATACCTTGATCTCCTGGCTCTTGAAACACCCTTGAAGGACATCACTCAGCTTGATATAACTCTACTTGATTTGCTTGTTCTTCTCAACACGCCAACATCCCTTTGCTACTCAACTTTTGTATATCCTATATTTCTATTCTTGAATATTGTTCCAACATGCTCTCCAACCCTTACAAAACCTCTCCCAACCATTCAAAGAGTGTGAAGAAATGGGCCCGTGCCGTTCGTGAACACAACACTCGTGGGACCCTCTCCAAATTTGAGATGAATCATGTTCAAGTATGTTTATATTTCACCCAAATAGTGAAACTCAATCTTATTTTTGTGTAATCTCTTTCTCAGTCGCTTGTCTGTAGACATCTCCGAGTATTAATGTGCCGAGAGTCCGAGTCCTCGCCTATCCCACCGTCTTTGTCAGAGCAAGAGATGAAAGCTTTACTCGAAAACTTCCCAGTTGGAGAGCCGCTCCCTCACGGCTCTTCACCAGCTTTACTTTCATCCACCGACTTTGCCAACACCGGTATTCACCTCAAGGCAGAAGCTTTTGCTGAAATCGAACAGGACTTGATGTGTTGGGGCCTCCGGCGTTTTTCATTCAACTGGAAGAGCGACACAGAGGACCGCGTGAACAAATTAGCCTGCAAAGTCTTCTGGAATTCGTTTTACCGCGCCACACAAGCTCACTCTTATAAGTTTAGTATCAGCTGTCACTTGCTCAGGAGAGATATTGCCATCCCGGTTTTTGTCGAAGAATTCAATCGCCTCGCTGTCAAGTATCAAAAACAGTGCGAAAGCCCCGCCGTCCTCGAATATCATAACATGGTAGCCAAAAAAAAACAGGTCAGAACTCATGTGTTTTTCATTCTTTGGGGTCTTGGTTTGTGCTAACAAACTTCTGATATTAGGCTTGCAATGAATATCGGACTTACTTGGTTAAGTCGCACGCGGATCCAGGCCTGTCATCAATTTTCCAGCCAAGGAACTACGCAATTATGGGAGATATTTTGGAAGTTAGAGTTACTGTGGGGATGCATTCAATCACCGACTTACATTTTGAAATACCTCGATGGTGGTCAGAGAAGACAATCTGCTTCATGGAACTCCTTGAGACCAAAGTCCACCGTCATGCCAACGCTCGGAACGATTTTCCTGGTTCTATTCGTCCTTCTCACGAGTACATACAAAGTTCTTCGACCGAATATGGTTTTATACCTCACCATCTCCCTGCCGATATGTACAGCCATGAGTTCAAGGCTTCGTTGCTACCAGCTGAGTATGCGGAAATCAAGATGAAACACTCGATCTTACCTGACCTCGAAATGATGAGTGCCATCTTCCCACCGTGTGAAAGCGCATTCTTTGAACAACCCTCGGACAATCTACTCAACAACTACTACACAAGCGACGACGATGTCACTTCCAGCGAACTTGACAACAGTGATACACAAACAATCCCTGACTCGCCCACTGACAATCTCACTGGACTCGATGACGACGAGAATGGCGTTAAAACTCAACTTGAGACTTTGAGTTCGGACTTGCAAAGTTCGATCGCTAGTTTTACGGCTTTTCAGAATGAGATACAAACCTCGATGCCCATGCGGTTGGAACAATTGCAAAAATCACAAGACAACATCAGTCATCTTAACAGTAAACTCGAGGCATTGCAGGGCGAGTTAGGTAGTTTGGAAACTGCTTTGTCGTTGGGAACAATGGCTGAGAATGTGACATCGGTCGACTCGTAAAGCTGAAGCCTTTGAAAGCCAATCAGTTTCCTTATATCTTGTTTTTTCTTTACGTAGGCATTAAAGATCGCTGGTGTGAACCATTCGACTAAAGTCCTGCTCCGGAATCTCAGCTTGAAATATTACTGATCATTGTCTTCTCTTCGTATGACTTGCTGCCTTCCCTCCACATATGTTTCTTTATCCTTATATCTGTTTCTTTCTTTAAGTAGGCGTTAAAGATCGCTGGTGTGAACCATTCGACTAAAGTCCTGCTCCCAAATGTTGGCTTGAAATATTCTGTCATTGTTTTTTGGTTGTAAACTTTGATATTTCCAAATAACGGCAAATCAACGACTCTCTCAATCTCACTTCTGTATAATCTCTGTCTGTTTATGATCTGTAATTGAAATGTCACAAAAGACTTATTGGATTGCTAATCTCATTTAATGGTCCCTTGTGTATATTGTCTCCGAAGGAGTGAAATGGTTCTCTTGGGGCCAATTTTCGCCCAAAAAAGAATTCTTGGGTCTCACTTCTATACACGATCCTGCATGGATCCATCACATTTGTATGCTTTCACCCAAAAATATAGTTTTAAGAAATTCATCACCGCTTGACCAAAAGCCATGAAACAGTTGGCATTATCACTATACTCTCACACGATAGACTAACTATTGTGTGAAGTGATCTTTATTTGAAGCGTGACTGTTGCTCCGCAAATAATCAAACATCGTCTGGGGTTCATGAGGTGGCCTTTTACTGTAGATGCACGACTTACAAGTTCAGTTCGGGCACCGCAACGGTTAGCTTCTCAATGGGGCGTCAAAAGCCGTTTGGAAAAGTGATCAGGTGCTTTCCGACCCAGACCACATAGATAGTCTTTGAACGGCTGATGTGTAACGTGTGACCGGATAAGACTGCGGTTGGAGGGCATGGTTGAGCAGGATACTAAGGTTATACTAACCTGTTGAACTGCTGGCCAAAAGCACATGATCGATGTGCGACGGGATGTTACGGGAATTATGGAACGCTAGACAACTTGAGGGTCAGTGCGTGGAGGTCGTATTGGCGAAATGGTCAAGAAGAAACAAGACTGGTGAATGACACTATCCTTGGAAAGTGATCTCGGATGCAGGGTAGTGCCGCGGTCCAAACGCACTGGTGACACATCTATCAAAAAACTTCAGAGTACTTTAAAACCACAGTGAAATGGTTGTTGGAAAGCTGCTATTCATCTTTTAAACACCACAATTTCTGTCGCCTCTTTCTTAGTCACTGTGTGAAGTTTCTTTTGCTGTTATTTTCTTTCATCTTATTTTACATCTTCATTCACTGGAATTTGCATATTTCTTGTATATATTTATCATGAGTTCTCATATTACTAGTACACAACTTACTCCCGCTGCCTCCAATGGTCAAGGAAAGAAACGACGCCTTGAGGAAGAAGATCAACAAACTCCAGGTATGGTTAATCTGCTTGTTCATCGCATAAGTTGGGTTGCTGATCTGATGAACCATCCCTCCTTACATCTGGTTCCTAAGATCAAAATGATCATCCCGACGATAGAGATTCATCAGATGATGAAAGCACTGGTGCGTCTTAGTTTCCTGAGTGAAACTAATATATAGCTGGACTGAATCTGCCGAAGAGTGTACTGGTAGCTGATATGCTTTGGTACTAGATGGTGATCTTACACAAGAAGATATCCTACGTCGTAAGAAAAGGAAAGCCGCGAATCTGAAGGTGCTTACTCAGATCAGACACCGAGATGAAGGCATTGGCAAAATAGCTGGATCACACCCTATTCCGAAAGCAGCAACTCCTCTGGCGAGAGCGATTCAAGAATTCGCTCGCATGCTCATGGGGATTCCGCGCAAGGCCAGGGGATCTTCGGCTTTGGAAGATGCTGCAGTTCAAAAGCTACCGGACCCTCCTTCTGAAACTGAACGACATGATTGGGAAACACGAAGACAAAGACGAGAAAACTATATTCGAGAAGCGCAGGAGAAAGCCATGGAAAAATACCTTTCGAAAAAACCGGGCGGCTTCAAACCCAACCAAAAGCAGAAGAAGATGGTAGAAAAGGACGCAGCAGAAAGCGCTACTCTCAAAAAGCCCATGCAACCTGTCATCTTCAAGTCGCGTGTGTTGCACAATACTCGTACTCGATACCCACACCATTTCATAACTCAGTGTGAGGCAACCTTAGCTATGGCAGGTTTTCCTCGGTGTACCTTTGATTGGGAGGCATCATACGATACCCCTTGGAATTCCGCAACCTCGACAATTCTATTGTCTCATTGGCTTAAAGCCTACGAAGCCAACGATGCGAGTAAGTTTGGTATCACTGTCAAGGATAATACCCCGTCCAACCGCGAAGAAGTTCTCCGACGCTGGGTTTTCAACAAGGGTACAGATTATCGTGAACAAACTCGAAATTGCAAGCTGATGGAGACTCCAGCGGGTCAGAGGATACTTAGTGATAACATCACCATCGCTCAAACTGCGACAAGCAAGAGACGTAACAGATCCAAGGTCAGTCTAAACCTTCCATGTGTAATCGAGATAGTCCACTTATCGAGAACTGATATGTATATACGCCCTAAAAGATATACGAAGCAAGACTGGAAAATGCTATCAGATTGTTTGGGGAAGACTCACCAGAGGTTGAGATGTTATCTCACCATGACATTCATTCCGACGATGAACTCATCACGACGAATTCGTGCGGCACTCGTCAGAAGTTAAGGCTCGAATGGCGAAGTTCGGAATTGGATACATTGATTAGTTTGCTCGACCAGGCCCATTGGAAGCGCAGGAGAATCCCAAAAGACATCAGAAACGCAAAAAGAACGGTCGAAAGAGGTGTATACGCACCTGTCCCCGATCAAGATCGTTTCCCGCCCAAAGGCTTTCAATTGTCTCTCATCTCGCCAAACTGGTACGACCTGCAAGAAGGGTTGATCATAGAGGAATTGAATTTGAATGAGAGAAATCCCGTAAACATAAGAAGCGCTATCGAAGATGTCATGAGATCTTTTATGTCTCGTGCCAATTTGGCTGCTCAAGAACTAGGGGGGACTGGGTCTAGCTCAATGATGAACGCTTGATATTCTTCCGAAACCATTCAAAGGGAAAATAAATGCATCTCTGGGTATTTCTTGCTTTATTGGTTTTTAATGTTTTTGAATCAATACATTATATTGTTTATTGTTGCGTTCAAACATATCCTTCTTTATTGTTGTGATCAATTGGTGCAAATGGTTTCTATTGATGTAAATAGTGTAAATACAAAGGTTTTGATAAATGTGAATAGTGTAATGTGAATAGCGTAAACAGCCTACGTATCCAAGTTTTCCAACCTAACTGGCCATCTTGATTTGAAGATGAATGTGTTGATGCATGACTTCCCACTTACTGAAGTAGGGCGGACTGCATGAATGATGCAACAAGTACATTGGTCCGATCGGATTTGGTCTGACTTGACCGGCATGTGACCTTTTCTGATCAATCAGCAAACTCACCATCACTTCAATTGATCACATCACATGTTACCAACAAATCGAATTTCTTTCTAGCGGATATCTACCTACTTTCTTGCCCAACGACCTTCTCTTTCGTTTAACCTCCACCCGATTCATGATCGGTAGAAGAAAATTCTCGATCAAGATCTCTTCTACATACCTACATTGATTTGCTCAACGTTTTTGGACGCCCCTATACCTAAAATACCTTGCATAAAGTGGCTCACTTTTCAAACCCACATTATATACTCAGTGATTCCTTCACTTTTCATGATCATAACCAGTTGGATTACATACCTTTTTCCAAATTCTTTTTTCTTCCTTGAGTCAACCTCACGTCCATCAAGAATTTCCATCACTTCAAGATATTAGGTGAGTCAAGCGAGGCTCATTCAGGAGTAGGATTCTCATCCAAGTCGAGGACTGATTTTATGTGTCGTCTCTTTCTACAGTTGTTGAATGTAATGGCATATTTCGATCGAAATCATCTGGTGTGTACATGCACTGCCCTAGGTTGCATCAAGGAAACTTTTGATCTAGGAGGCCAGGTGCATACCGGAGTTATGTTTCATCGCACCAACTATCCCAGACACATTTCAAAGGTCCAGCATCTTGAGGCTCATTCGGCGTCCTTGAAGTCACCTTCAAATTGCACTGTTCCCGAGAAAACTACGAAGGTCCAGCATCTTGAGGCTCAGTCGGCGCCCTTGAAGTCACCTTTCGATCACACTATTCCCGATCAAACCACTTCCACCCTGAAGCGTGCAAGATCGTTGTCAAATTCCGACAGCATCATTATCAACCCCACCCAAACGGATGACAGACCTACCAAAATATTACGCACTTCGAGCTCTCGAACCAATGCCACTATTCCTTCCGCACTAGTGGCAACATTCAATACGATCACTTTCAAGAAGCCTCTCACATTCTTACTGGATATACGATGTGTTCAGCCGCTATTCCACATACTTAATGAATACCTCAATGATCGTAAAAGCCATCGAAGCTGCAGAAGTTCCCTTCGATTCGAAAGAAACAGACTACAAAGCTTAATCCTTCCTGACGATGAGACAAAGCCGTGGAAAGAAATCCCTCGAAACATTGACAAGGTGATCAAGATATTTCAACTCGAAACCAACATGACGCAAGTTGTGTGTTGTCATGTCTGCTTTGCACTCCATGGAGCACTTGATTCTCAGAAAACACACCAAATCCCGGCCATCACTACATGCAACAGCCTCCGAGTGCCTTCAAAAACTTCAAAGGCGCACAGGATAATTTGTAACGCACCATTGTATGAACAGTCTTCTTCAAACAAGAACAAACATCAATTGAACCCTCGAAAGGTATTCCAGCATCTTCGGTTAATCGAATGGATAGCAACTATGTTAAATTTTCCAAATTTCGAAAAGGCTTTAGAAGTATCGCTTTTGAGACCAGCTCCTGTTAAAAAGACCTACTCTGACATTTGGGATGGCAAAATTTGGAAGACCTTCCGAGCCATCGATGGCAAGATCTATACTAAGCAGCCCGGCAATCTAGTTTTTGGTTTGTATAACGACTCGTTTAATCCGTATGGCAAGTCATCAGCACGTCACCATTCATCAAGTGTCATTCAACTCTTTTGCCTCAATTTACCTCCTGACATACGCTACAAACCCGAGAATACCTTTATATACGGTATTATACCCGGTCCAAAAGAACCTGATTATAATCAGCTACATCACCCATTCAAACCATTAGTCGAAGAGCTGTGTGACCTTTGGCACGGTGTTTTTTTTAAGCCAACCTCATTGAACCCCAACGGTCGCTTAATTCGAGTCGCAGTTTGGCCTCTGATAGCTGATTCGCCAGCCATGAAGAAGATCGCCGGCTTTTCTGGACCTAAGTCCACCAATTTCTGCAGTGAATGCTACATTACGTCTGACGACATCGATCAAGTCAATGTTGGCTTTTATCAAGGACACACAAAGTCTCAATATAAGGCACAATCCCAAGCTTGGTGCAACGCTCCATCCGCTTCTGCTCAACAAGCTCTGGTCAAAAAAAACGGAGTGCGCGCCACACCATTTTCTTGTTTACCTTACTGGGAACCTGTGAAGTTTACCACGATCGACATTATGCACTGCATCATGTTAGGATTACTGAAAGATCTATCATCTACATATCTTCGCATCCCATGCGCCGCAAAAATCCTTGATGATCAGCAGAAGACCCTTGCTCTATCAGGTAACCATGAAACGATTCACGCAGATGCTGTTTGTTTTCCGGCTCCACAGATCACAACGCCTCTAACCTGTTCAGATGTGTCATCGTCAGTTAATCAATCAATTTCAGATCATTACACAACAACCAGTGAACATTCTAGTTCACGAACTCATTACGATCGATCAGCAAAAACTTCACACATCCAAGTATCCCATCCAAATATAATTGACTCTTCCATGACTCAAAGTCATTCGGCGTCTTCAAAATCAAGCCATAGCACAATCATTGCCACTCATGGCCCTGCCATTACTCCTCACGAACTGCAAATAATCTGGTATACAATTCAGAATACCAACATTCCATCTTGGCTAACCCACCTTCCGCATACGTTTGGGACGGCTCGCTGTGGTACACCAAAGGCTGCCGAATGACATGTATTATATAGTTTGTATATGGTTATTTCGATTTTACCGTATCACTACAACGCTGAAAAAGATTCGGAGGCGGCCGATATACACACTGCAATCAAACTAGCGACTCAGATTGTGAATGTTGTGACTTTGAGGACTATCAACGAGGAGGACATTAAGATGCTTAGAAACCTTTTGAGACAATATCGTGAACACCTGCAAAAAGCTTGGCCAAACATCCGTTCCAAGCCAAACTTGCATTATGCTCAACATCTTCGGATCAAATCTGGCGTTTTGGCCCGCCGCCATACACTGCTGCGTGGGCCGGCGAAAGAAACATTGGACAACTGGTTCAAACTCCCAAAAGCACACACTCAGGTAAGATTTACTTCTCTTTGACTTCAACGCTTATCCTTTGAGTAATCCTGATTTGTAAATTTCTGACCAGGTACTGTGACGGGAACCATGCTCAAAGCGCATACCCAAAAGTCATTATTTAAACATATTCAAAAGAATATGAACCCAACATGTCGGAATCATCTTGGTCTTGAAGACCTGACAGCCTCAACTACATCAAAATGGCGATCTTTCACACCACCCGACCAAAATTTACCCATCATTGTCAACTTTCTACAAGAGCTAGGCCATGATCCAAGAGCTCCACTTCCTGCACTCGAAAGTACTTCATACTGGAAACATGCCAACAAGATTTTTTCACCTTTTTCTACTCATAAGGGAAACAGTTCCATTCAACTACACAATCAGCCAAAGTCCCAGCACTTTGAGTATGGCCTCATTCAACATATCGTCCGCCTGTCCAAAGACCTGACTCAATTTTTTATAGTGGACTGCTTTCCATCACTCAATGGCACTGATTGTCTTTTAAATCCGTATCAAACACTGCCACATCTTAAAGCTGATGTTGTTTATCGCAGTCCACTAATCAGAAAATGTTTCAGTGTTGATAACATTTTCGGACACTGTGTTGTAGTCGAAAATCCATGTGATACATTTGGAATTTCCCTGGACACAAACATTGTTGTAGGTTTGCGGAGTATGGTTAGTCTCTTTCTGTTTCAGTATCTGCTTGTGTGGCAATTGTGGGTCTGACTGACGACTCTGGACCAAATTGATCTAGGCCATAATTGACATGTCCTCAAGCTACGAAGAATGTGGCGTCTAGTCTCATTCAATTTTATGAACATGTATTTATATTTTCCGACTATCTCAATTGTTGTTATCACCAAAGGTCAACCAATTAGATGACTATTTTTAGAATACAAGCTGAATCTGAGTAACACCTGCGTAGCCATACAAGCACAAGAGAGAGTTAAGTTTTGAAAAAACTGGATTGATCATGGATGAACAATTTCAGACTTCAGTTATTTGATAACACTCTGAGAAATCTACTTGACCATGTCTACGGCACAAGACACCAGGGAGAATAGAAAAAAATCTCTCAAATACATGTGTAATTGTGAGAACAACATTAACCGCACAAATAAAGAGAGTATTGAGTTTCCTGCATCACAGAAGCTGACCTTTCCCGCACGTTTACTATTCACATCCAATTGCTCAAATTGGTCAGATCCATCTATGATTTTGGAATCAACAGTTGTTCAATTCGGGTGGCGAGAGTGTTGAGAATTTCTGAAGCTGGTTGAGCCTTGAGTTTGACCTTTTTATCATCATCCAGACTATTATACCAGACTTGATCGTAACAATTTTGAGGAAGGCCGCAGCAAACTGCCGCATTTGGATTGTTATACGACTCTTCCACACGACACTGATCAAATCGTTGAGTGGCTAATAGTATCCCATCGAGTTGTGCTTTGTATTCGTATGAAAGACGATCAACACGATGCATGAGAGATCGGTATTGTTGACTTCGCCAAACCAGACCCACTTTCTTCTGGTCCAGTTGTTCAGGTTCCCACTCAGTCTCAGAGCAACAATCGGCATCTGGTATCAAGTCTAATGACTCTTTACCCAGATGACGTACAAAAGAATCGCGACGATATTTGAATAACTACCCACAATTAAAGGTTGGACATTCCCATCAATAACCTGTTATAACGTTTGTTGAGTACGAAAAATCTCACCAGTCGCTTCTTCCTGTTGTTCTCAACCGCCCGAAGTTTTTCGGGTGTGTTTTGTCCTGATCGAATCTCAGTTGCTCTTCCACGAATCCAGCGCGTTAACATCCCCTCAAGTGTTGTGTAGGTTGTGTGTGCTGGATTGATTGGTAGGTTTCCAAAATCTCCTCTCTTATTGGCGTGTCTCCAATGCTTGATGACTAAGATCGACATCACTTGATTCCAGCGGCAGCCTTTCTTAAGGCCCCAGTCAAATGTAAAGCGTTCGATACCGTATTGTCGAAGATCAGCCAGGAAGACTTCTCTTTGTCTGGAGGAATCATTGGTGAGTTGTGTCAAAACTTCTGGTTCTAAGGCAAAGATCCGCTGGTCTGACATCGTGGCTTCTTGATTGAGAAATCTTAGTTGAAGGCGTTCGTTGCAGGTAGGTCCAAGAGGGTATGATTTTGATATGTGGTCGTATTCTAACAGCATTCTAGTGAATGTAGCCAAGACCTTACAGACTCGAGAGTTTGCATTTGGAAGACTACCTGCCACTAATGCGTTGTTGGCCTTGAGTGACTTAACCGGGGCACCATGCTTCCAGTTGCGCACTTTTTGAGCGGAAGGAGGCAAATTTGACTTAGGAGAGGGAGACATGAATAAAGTTCTTGTTTGATTTGGTGAACAAGGAAGATACTCCCATCAAGCTCGTTGAGTCTTCAAATACAAATCAATGATTCACATTTCTCAACTAACTTTGTCATTAATCCGAAGGAGGTTCTTGCCATTATACTCTCAAAAAGATGCTCATGCGAACAAGAACAATGGAGTTCAACCGAATTTCCGGTATACTGAGCATAGGTCCGAATGTTTCTAACTGACCGCTACAAGTCACCAGATAAAGGCGTACTTTGCAGATACAAAGGCACAGTAAAGCGCGCGAGAGGTTGAGATGAGACACAAGGACTAGAGAACCTCTTTGAAAAGACTTTCAAAAGTCTTGGTGTGCTCAAGTCGACGTGAGACTTTGAAACAGACATGGTGAATGATAATTAAAATAGGAAATATAAAAGAATTAATTATGTGAGGAAGTAATTATGTTACAAGTATTAGTAAGGGATGTTCTATCTTACAATATTATGTGTGAAGTGCTTTTGGAGCTTGTGTCTAAGGTCTCGAGTACTGACAAATAACACATGATTCTTGGCAATATCAAGAGTATGAGGATCAAGCATCAAATATCCAAGTGTCAAGACTTGACTACTATCTGAACAAGAAATATTTTGGAGTGTATATAATCAATTTTCCCTCAACATATGTACATGGGTTTAGGGAGTTTTAGCCCTTTTATGGATTTCCTAAAAATCCCCTCTGAATCCATACATTGTATGGTTTCCATAAAACCCCTCTTAAACCATAATTGTCATAGGGTTAGAGGGATAATGCACTCAGCTCAATTCTTTGATGGGATATCAATTATAGCATTGCACATCTAATCATACTCTAATTGATCATATCTATACCTCTGCTTACAATTTGTAATGAATTGAAGAAGTGACCAAAGTAAACAAAATTAAAGACATGTAATTATGGTTCTCAAACCTATGCAAAAATTTGTGCAAGTTTTGAGCAACTTCTGTGCAAGACATGAATAGAACTTGCACGGATCATGCACAGATCTTGCACGTTGGTCTCACATGGTTTTTGTACCAGTTGGAACAAAATAGCTGGGGTTGTCAAAAAATTTAATGTGCAAGATTGATGCAAGAAATCTTGCACAGATCTTGCACATTGGTCTTGCACAGTTCTTGCACAGGTTTGAGAACCATAAATATAATTTTTTGAGATGCAATGTACTTGATACCACTGAAGGTAGATGGTTGATCAAGTTGAGAATGGGTTGGTTCAGATGAGTTATTGGTTAAAGTAAGTATCTTGAGATAGTCTTGAATGGATTGATTGAGATTGGTTATCATCAATCACACCAAGTGAAGATTTGATGGCAATTTGGATGTGATCAATGGGGTTTCCTAAGATCAATTGATCACTTTCAGAGTTTGAAGTAATCAGTGATGGAAGATTGTTGTGCGTTGCTCAGCAGCATGGAGCGCACACACGCAGAGTATCTGGCTAGCATTCCTTCCAGTGTAGAAGTGATATACACCTTGTTGGCATGTTGAAGGATGAAAACCACCATTGCTGTGAAAAAAGCTACATTTGAGCAAGATTGAAGCCCCAAAATTTTAAAAAATTCATCAATTGATGGCTTGTTCATCCTCCACGTGGCCCAAGAATTATGGATTTAACAGGTTTTTTATCAAGAAAAAAGTACAATCTTGGTATGGGATAAGGAAATAGGGGGTAAAGTCCAAATTTGGACCCCACCGCAGATGTGGAATCCATACCCCATGGGTTTGAAGGGGTTATGGAAATATAGGGGTATGGCTTTCAAGGGTTTTGAGTGGAGGTTGATCATTTTGATCAGGTCAAGTTATGGGTTGACTTACAACAAGCTGATTCTTGAATCTTTGGTTCAGATGTTCTTTGCTTATATAGTGAAGCAGGTTGTGCATGCTGATCCACAAGCTTTTCAGGTAGCTTCTCATTTCTGTTATCAGGCCACACATATAGGATGTTTCTTGGGTTGGATTGATATTCCTTTCATCATCACTATTTGTGGTTATTCTTGAGCAGGTTTGCTTTCTGCATAGGACCAAAGCCGTAGCCTAGTTGTGTCACTTGAAGAACACAAATGAGGGTCTATGGTTTTTTGAGAATCTGCCATTAATGTTATTGTCAGGTAGAGGATCATTTTGAGTGTCAAAGATCTTTATAAGCCGACAAAACCCATAGCCAAGAGCAACTGATATCCATTCTAGTTTGAATGCTGGGGCTGGTTGTTCATCTTTCTGATGTTGACTTGGTAGAGCTCTTTACATCTTCTACTTGATCACAAATGGAATAGAATCACCTGCTTCCAAGGATCCGAGATTCATATGAAGAATCTTTGGGTAAGCTGAAGACTTACTTCGGGCGGTGAGAGAATAAGGTCAATCAATTGATCTAGACTGTTTCTCATTAAAAGGATGATCAAGTTTTCCGATTCAAAGGATGGGAAGATGGTTGTTCGATTACACGCAGCTAACTCTTTGCTGGGTCATCTGAATCAATAGAATAGTGAGATTTGTTTGGGAGTTTGAGTTGGGTTTAAGTGCTCCAATTGACCAAATTATCGATTCTCACCCCCAGATTATGTTCGGGATCCGATGTAGGCTCGATTAGCCTTTAGGTCATGAGGAAACGAGTTGTGAACCTTTTTTAAATCTCATCTCATCTCATCTGACTCTCTATTCTCGACTGATGTTGTTAATCCGGGAAGTCCGTTGAGTGAAATCCAAAGATAAACTTCAAGATTTTGATTCGAACCCGTTGACTTTAAATCAAGCTTACTTAAATTCAAAGGAAAGTACACATATCATTGATCTCCTTCCATGTGATCCGAATATGATTGATACCTCTAATGATATACTGAGTTTTTCAAGAAGCACTATCCCTTCATTAACATTTGATTGATTCAAAGGAGAAGCAGAATGGGATTTGATCGATTGATTGATCGACTGACATTTTAATCAAAACCGGATCGAGAAACTATATAAGACCTTCACCTTCTTGACTTTCTCCTCTTCTCAGCCTTCTCAATCTCTTCTTGTGTCCTTTGATTACATCTACACTTTCTATCGAACCTTTTCAATTTTCATCATGATACCTCAATCAACAACTCATTTAATCAAATTGGCTTCTGTCTTTTTCTTTTTACCTCTTTCTCAGGTCATGGCAAACGAATCGAGCAAAGTTACGAATCAAAGCAAATCTTTGTACCATCAACCTTTACATCACATCATTGTCGGAGGTAAAACTGACGTTATTTTTCAAATTCATAAACCTGATCAAAGGTTTTGCATAGTAACTTTTCTTTACATTTTTTCAAAAAGGTTATGCTAGTGTAATCACTACTCTTCAATACGATGAAAGTACTCAAAAGCTTTCAAAAATCGGGGTTTTTAACAATTCTTTGGTTGGAACATCTCCATCTTGGATGGAAGTCAGTTCAGATGGAAAAATCCTTCATATGTAAGATAATTTTTTCTTAATCTTTGAAAACCACCTTTCACCGCGGTTTTTCCCTTGCCTTTCATTATACAAATCTCTACATATTGACTTTGATTTGATTTGATTTCGTTCTTGAAAGCTCCAATGAAGTAGCTGAAGTAGATGGTCAAAATAATACAGGAAGTATAAGTTGTTATCGGATCATCAAAAATACTCATTCAGGATCAGATTCGAATTCATCCATCAGTTTTGAACCTATCAATCAAGCTTTCACAAGTTCAGATCCAGTTGCATTTGATATATCACCTGATCGAAAAAATATGATCGTAGCTTCATAGTGAGTGAATTTTTGAATTCCTTTTGACATCCTGACCTCATCTCTCATCTCATCTTCTTATGGTTCTTGATTCCTTTTTGATAGTACAGGTGCTACGGCCTCTCGATATGAATTAAATGAAGACCAATCATTTAAATATAACAAGAGTGTTCAGGCTTATAGTTATAATGCTACAGGTCCTAACATCGCTAGACAATTACAATGCGAGTGATTTTTCTAAATAACAAATCTTTTCAATGTGTGCAATTTTTTACACAAGTGAGCCATAAGCTAATATAATAATCTTTCAATTTCCCTGGATCTAGCTTACATTCATCAAGCTCGTTACGATGTAAGTCAGATTTCTCTTTCAGTATGAAATCAATCAATCCAATTTGATTGAATTCAATCCCTTGACCATAATAGCCTACCGGCAGAATTGCGACTTTCACAGACTTAGGTGGAGATCGAGTTTATATTCATTCAGTAGATAACAAAACTGGTGAACTAAACCCAATCGATACGATCCAACTGAAAGCAGGTACATAATACCTTTTTACATCCAAAAAGTCCACTTGACCATCATTTATTTATTTTGACTTGGTGATTTTCCACAAAAAGGTACTGGACCCAGACATTTGACTTTCTTCGTGGTGAACGAAACTCGAACAGACGTATACCTAATCTGTGAATTATCCAACGAATTGATCTACATTCAATTCAATTCGATTTCCAACCCAAGTTTTTCGACCGAACTCAAACAAATCCTACCAACTTTACCATCCACGATCTATAACCAAACCACCTTTGGAGCCGGAGAAGTAGCCATCACCAATGATGGTCAATTCGTTTATGGAACAAACCGACAAACAGATTTCAATAAATCTAAAGACGATAATAGTATAGTCTTATTCAAAAGAGACAAACTTACTGGTTTGCTTTCTGAAAGACCTATACTCTTTCCACTTTCTCATACAGGCTTCACCCCACGTCATTGTTCTTTTAGTAAAGATCTCCATCAAAGGTTTTTGGTCGTTGTGGGTCAACAAGATCATTTGGTTGGGATCTATGAACGGGATGTCTTGAATGGTCAGATTAAGTTTTTAGATATGATTTCTATTGATGAACCTGCATATGTGGAATTCTTGTAATCTTTTTTTTTATCTTTGGTTGGATTCTTTTTTTTTGTATTGCATCTTAATTTTTATTTTTTTGGGAGGGTTTTTTGTCTTGTTATGCAATTGAAACAGGTTCTATACCTCTATTTGTGTTAGATTTTATTGAGATAGTAGTGTAAAAGTGGTTGTGTCACAATATATTATGACCAAACCCTGGCCAAATGTTCAGCTTCTCATCAGGTTATGGATGGTTAGACTACACTGAGTGTTTTATGGCCAAAAATCAGCTGAAGTTTTGGCCAGAAATCAGCCAAGTTCGCGGCCAGTCAAGTGGCATTGTACAAGTTCAACCCTTGCTTGTAGACGGTCAATAGGCCACCAAATGGTCCATCTTACAGTTTGGTTTGGAAAAATCCTTCACAATTTGCTTGAGCTTGTCTTTGTGTATCTTGTCATAAGCAATTGATGCAGTCTGTAATACGCAATGGATACGGGACTGGCCACTGTGGATCACATTGCATTGCAATGGTCCGTCAAGTTCACACAGGATAGAGTGCAAAACTCCATACATGGGAGTTCTGCTCGCTCCAACACCGTCTGATCTGAGCTGTTTTAGTGTTGTGAGTTAACAACTCCTTCGTTCTGCTCGTTCAGCCTTCGTATCGTTCAATATATGCGCCTTTTGCATACATATATAGTTGCCGCGTGGTGGTGGTATGTATTCTTGATAAGAGGCGCTTTTGACGGATTCGTGATATCTATTTTTGGAACCACTTATCGCTACTTTTTACTCATTCTCCTTGAATTCTTTTTGTTTATTTTCTTTACTTTTCGGCAATTTTTATTTTTCTTCGTCAAGATGAAATCACAAGCAAGACTTTATTTAGTTACATTCGCTATTGTTTTCCTTACTACACATTTCCCTAAGATCATCACGGCTAACGAATCAATTAAATATAATCAACCACCTTCAAGTTCTACCACTGACCAGCAACTTCCTGAACAAAACGGATCTCAATCTCAATCCTTACACACGATTCTTGTTGGAGGTGAATTGATTTCTGTTCCGAGATAAAAGATTTCACTTCCTAATTTCTATGAATCTCAAAAGGATTTGCTGGTACTATTACAATCTTACAATTTGACGAAAAAACTCAAAAACTTTCAAAGCTCAATTCTTTAAACAATTCGTTTGTTGGGGCGTCTCCATCTTGGATGAAAATCAGTCCAGATGGCCAATTTCTTCATAGGTCAGATCATCTCTTTTAATCCATAACCACTTCTTGTCCTGTCTGTGTGTGTTTTCTTCCATTTCTTTCACTTGAATCACATTTTATCTTTTAAATTCAGAAGAATTACATAATGACTTGTTGGATGTTTTTCACCTGAAGTGCTAATGAAGTGAAGGAAATAGATCATAGGAAAAACACAGGTAGTTTGAGTAGCTATCGACTTTTAAACAATGATTCAAAACCAAACTCGAATAGATCATTGGTTATTGAACCTATGAATCAAGCTTTTACAAGTGCTGATCCGGTTTCATTTGATATATCGACTGATCAAAAAAACATGATCGTAGCTTCATAGTAAGTCAATTTAATCTTCAATTTCGAAACGAAAAAAAAAATCATCATCCTTTGAGATTATCAATCTTGACTTTTTGGTTGTTTGGTCTTCTTAGTACAGGTGCTACTGCTTGTCGATATGAATTGAATGATGATAGATCATTTAAATCTACAAAGAGTGCCCAGACTTTCACCTATAACGCTAGTGGTCCTATCACCGCTAGACAATCACAATGTGAGTTGAAGTGTAATAGGTATGAGTAGTTTCTTTGGAAAGAATTGGGAGGCTAATATAAAGATTTCTTGATTTTCTCTTCATTAGCTCATCTTCATCAAGCTCGCTACGATGTAAGTCGAATCTTTTTCTCAGTATAAAATGTTGTAGTCTAGGAGGATTGATTAAACGATGAATCAGCCTACAGGTAGGATTGCAGCTTTTGTAGATTTAGGTGGAGATCGAGTTTATCTTCATTCAGTTGATAAACAAACTGGTGAACTGAACCCAATTCATACTATTCAACTTGAACCAGGTAACCAACTTTTTCCGAAATCATAAATTCTCCTACTTGACTTACTAATTTGTTTTTTCTTTTTTATAAAAAGGTACTGGACCGCGACATTTAACATTTTTTACTGTCAATGAATCCAGAACGGACGTTTATCTAATCTGTGAACTATCCAACAAAATGATATATATCCAATTAAACCATATCACCAAACCAACCATTTCCATAAAACTTCAACAAATCCTTAATACTTTACCAACTGAATTCCAAACCCAAACCACCTTCGGAGCCGGAGAAGTGGTCATCAGTAATGATGGTAAATTCCTTTATGGTACAAATAGACAAACTGATTTCAAAAGACCTAAAGAAGAGAATAGTATGTATAATTGTTTTTAAAAGAGATCTATTCACTGGTTTGATTTCTCATACACCTGATCTTTACTTTCCACTTTCTCATACCGGTTTCACTCCACGTCATTTTTGTTTTAGTAAAGATCTTGATCAAAGTTTTTTGGTGGTTGTGGGTCAACAAGATCATTTGGTTGGGATTTATAAACGTGATGTATTGAATGGTGAAATTAAGTTTTTAGATATGATTACCATTGATGAACCTGCATATGTTGAATTCTTGTAATCTTTTATTTTTATTTTTTGGTTGGATAAATGGATGGAAAAGTTTATACCTTTTGGACTTTCATCTTGATATTGAGTTTGTTGATAAAAAAATTCCAAGATTCTTTTGCGTCAATGCCCCCCCCACAAGTACATATTGTTCTTTTATCCTTGCTTGTCTTCAAATCTGGCAAATGAGCCTTGTAAGGCAGTCACCACCTTGACTGTGTGTTTTGTCGGATTTTGACAATACACCTTGCATGTTGATGTTGCATGTTGATACTTGCATGTCAGTATAAGCTTGAGGGGATATTGAATGTTGAATGTCCATGGTGAAGGGGTTCTGTTCAAGAAGCACTCGAAAGCATGAGATTGACAAAAATAGATTAAAATTTAATGTAGTTTTGATAGAGAAGTGTGTTGAAGGGTAAAGAGAGGTAAACAGAACAATCAATTCATCATCGTCATCATCATCGATCAGCTCAGCATCAACTATCAACCATCAAGACTGCCATCGATCGATCAATCAATCAAGAATTATAAGGAACTATTACCATCAAACTTGACAAGATGACAGACTCAGTTCAATCTCATCCATTATTATTATCAACAAACGAATCATCACCTACTTCTAACTCAAAACATCATTATCATCACATCTTATCAACTTCACCAATCAATCAACCACAACAATCATCAGCATCATCACTTCAATCACTACTACCTTCATCTTCATCCTCAATCTCATCATCTTCCTGTTCTTCAAACCTCAAAGCTTCAACTTCAACTTCAGTCTTAACCACTGATACGACTACTCTTAGTACCATCAAGAATAATGATCCATTAACGAACAGCAATCAAACCTCATCCTCAAATCAGTACTTTACTACTTATCCTACTCGTCGCAATCACACCATCTCCACTCCTTCCCGTAATCGAAATCTTACGCCATCGAATTATTCAACTTTCTCTCATTCTTCACTCGACCAAAACTCTCAATCTTCAACTCCTTTAGCAACTGATGCATTACTCTTTCAATCTCTAAGAGCAGAAGCTCAATCATTAGGACTAGAACCTGATAGTTTAGGTTGGGCGATTCTAAGGTATTTATCTTCTTCAAGTTCTAGACCGATCCGATCACTTTTACGTCAATTATCATCTTTCAATCTACTTTTGATCTTACCACGTGCTATCAATCATCACTCTGATACACAAGCTAATCTCGATCAGGAAACCATTTACGATCATCTTATACTCTTATCTTCTCTTGACCAACTTGGTTCAGCTTGTTGCTTTAGTTCACTCACTGGTTGGAAAGGTTTACTTGAAGGTGATCGACTGCTAGTCTCAACTCCTGGTAAATCCCTCAGTACTCTTCAGAACCAATTCCATCTTGATCCAAGGTATGGCTTTTTCTCGATCATAGCTCTTGACATAAAAATTGAACTGTTTGCTAACATCTACGCCATTCTCTTTGAAAAGCTCATTGATCCCTACCATCAAACCATCAACCAGCCTCTCTAGCGAATTAACAGCACCATCGAGACTACGACTCCCTCTCTACTCACTTTCATCATCCTCCTCTCATACTCTAACTCTTCCCGGTTTACCTTCAACTCGACCACATTCAATCAACACCAACACCACCACTCAGAGACTTGCATCTCTCTTTGGACCTCGCCCTACTCCTTCTCCATCAAGTCTACCTGAATCGTCGTCTTCAGAAGTCGAACCAGCTGATGAACCTATCCAACTTAAAGTAAGAATTCTAACATGCTCAACTCTTACCAGTGAATTATTGGATCAAGCTGTGAGTGATGCAGTAAGAAATCGGATCAGGGATGGGTTAGGAAGTTTAGAAGAATCTGTATTAGATTCTATTGATCAATTTGTTGAGCGATTTGCGGTTCATAATCAAAGATGTAAGTCATCTATATATCTGTTCATGTGATCAGTCTATCTAATTCTTTCCGTTTTCAAACAACAGCCTCTTTATTTCTTGCACCCAAGAATGTGGTTGGAGATTGCCTTCAAACACTCTATCATACCATTCAAAGTGAATTGGAAGAAGAGTATGGTCATGATGAAGGAAATGTGATAGTAGATCATACATTAGAATTAGTAGAAGAGACGATTTGTGTAGAATTATATGAAAGATTGTTTGAAGATGATCATGATGATGAAGGATTGAGTGAAAAGATTGCTGGATTAAATCTTTTGGATGTGACTCTGTGAGTGTTTCGATCTCATGAAGTGTAAAGCCGGGTTTTAAGAGAGAGAGAGAGAGAGAACAACTGATGAAAATTAGGTAAAACATAGGGATCATTTGGGATTGGATTTGGAAAGGAGACAAATGGATGATCCTGATCGGATTTGGACTATCAAAACTGGATTAGAACAGATTGTTCAATCAGCCTCTACTGGTTTGTCAGATCTCACTCGTGTATTTATCTTTTCTTCGCTACTCATCAGTTTAACTATTTGAAACGCAGAACTTGCTCGGTTACAAGATACAGACTGTAGATCACCTAGAGATAAACTAGCGGTCTGTGTACGTGTCCATAAGTTGATCGTTGGTCAGTCATCTCCATTCAGTATGACAGCTCGTAGTCAATAAGCTCAACGTGTTCCTATATAGATGGTCTTGCCACTTTACCGCCAATCCCGATTAAAAAAGATGGACCAGGACCGTTACAAGACACAACAAGACCATCTTCTCCAGCATCGACAGTAGAGATGACAACGACTACGCCTACTAAATCACATAGACGTGGGATCAGTTCAAGTAGTTTACCTACGCCTACACCTTTAAGACCTCGTAATCCGATTGCAGATTTAGCAGACGCACTTGAAACTGAACTCAAAATCCCACAAGTTTCTTTAGCACCAGAAGAGCCGAAGAAAGCAGAAGATGAAAGTGAAGCTGAAGTCGAACCTTCGTCTAGCAAGAGCAGCAGTAGTACAGATTTAATTTTACCTATTTTGATTTATATGATCATTAAAAGTAATCCGACTAATTTGATATCTAATTTAAGATATATAAGAAGAAATCGATTTAAACAATTCTTAAAAGGAGAAAGTGATTATTGTTTAGTGAATTTTGAAGTAGCTTGTTCTTTTATACAATCTAAAGAAAAGTCTGCGAGTCAAGAAACCAAAGAAGTGATTGGGATGGGAGGGATTGAAGAGATGAAAAAGGAAGAAGGATTAGGGGTTGCTAAGAGAGTGGTTAGTGAACTTTTGGTAGGAGGGTATCAAAGAGTTTTAGGATTAGAACTTGATGATGTGAAAGGGTTTTTGAGAAGAGAAGATCATGGAACGCGAAAGAAATTGTTTGAGTTTGGGAATGGGAATGGGAATGGGAATGAAGAGAAGAAAAGAAGAAGTGGGATTTTTAAAAATGATCAAATGGATCCGTTGAGTTCTTCTTTACCTTCTACTGCTTTAACTTCATCATCTTCAACTTTGAATCAACCGATCATACAAGAAGGGAGTGGGATGAGAGTTAGTCTTGGGGAGAGGTTGTCTAGTTTTCCTGGATTAGGATCTAAGAAAACTAAACGAAACCTTTCGATGAGTTCAAAGGTTTGTTGATCATCTTTAGTTTGGTTCAGTTTTGAATGATTTGATTAGAAGAAAAATGGAAAAATGAAAATTAATGACATGTTTCTCATTTGTTGGAATGAATTATATGATTTTTGATTTTTTTTCTAGGAACTTGTGATTGATCAAGAAGAAAACCTAGATAGTTTGTTTTGGTTTCTTTTTTTGTTTTGAGTTTTGAGTTTTGAAATTGATGATTTTTTTTTCTTCTTTACGATTTTAGGTTCAGGACCTATTGAAAGGTTTGAAAAATGTAATGGAGCTGAAGGATTAGTTATGGGAGATATTGCTTGTTGAGTTAATTTTTTTGTTTCTGATTCTAAATAAATTATAATAAAGAAAGATTGGAAGGATTGATTTGTTTTTTCTTCTTCTTTTGGGTTTAGTGTTGGTTAAAGATTATCAGAGGCTAGCGAAGATTGGTAGAAAACATGGGATTTGGAAATGATTTGTTTTGGTACATCATTCATCCAGATCAGTTTTTTGGGGGGGGACAAATGGCTTGAGTGGGTTTAGGTTTTTTTATACAGTACAGTTGATTTGAGTTTAGTTCAAGTAAGATTGTTTTAAAAAATTAAACTTTTCGGTTTTTAGGAATCGTGAAATTGGTTTCGATTGTAGCTTGTTTTTGTTTGACTGAAATATTGATGTTTTGAAGAAGAAAAAAAACTTTTTTTTTGCTTTTCTGATTTAAGTATGCAGAATGTGTTAAAACTTACTGATTCGTTTTTAAAAAGGTTTTTTATGTATTGTTTTCTTCTTCTTTTGAAACTTATTTCTTATGATCTGAAAGTTTATTTATTTAAGTTTGTAGAATTTCGAGGATTTGGATGTGAGGTTTTGGAGAAATGTGAGTGGTCTTATAATTGAGAGGAATCAAAGGATCTTAATGGAAGAGACGTCATAGAGTGAGTTGATCGGGTTCTGGAAATGTCTTTGTGGATTTCTATTTCAAGTTTTGTGTCTAGGTGTCGGTGGTTGTGTGAGGGAAATCTTTCTGAGCAAAAATACGTTGCTTATTTCTTTACTTCCTGATGCAATATGATTAATTTGGTCCAAATCTATGGCACTGTCAATAAGATTGGCTTGGATTGTAGTCTCCAAGGCATTGATCCTTCTTCAAGGGGTTTTCCAATATATGTTGCACACAAAGCAGATTTCATGAATCTTTGCACAAGTTACCTGTCAATGTGCTCAGTTCTTTGTGGAAAGCAACTGAGGATATGTGGAATCAAAATAGTAAAAGGACACATGAGTCATTAAGCTTATGATCACAACCCAAGATTCTGAAAATGGCTAATATGAACCAAAGTCAATCAAATTGAATTGATTCCACTAGATTTCAAACAGATACATAATGAACAGACCAACACTTGTTTGACAAAGAAGATGATAAATAATATATAACCCAAAGAAACTAAAGTTTTGATTATCAAAATCATCATATGACTGTTTTCAAATTGAATATACATACAATATAAAATCTTACAAAAAAATCCTTATGAGAAAGAATAATACAACAAATATACAAACTAAATTTATTTTTACTTAGTATGACAGAAATTATTTATACAAGACTGATTTAACTAATCAAACTTGATTTATCTCAATCTTTTATTCTCAAGTCAATAAGAGTAAGTGAAATCTGGATGTTGGTCTCCAAGTCTTTCCCAACCGATCAAAAACAAGATTTGAGATGGACCTTTTCCGGCATCTACTGAATACTTTGAAGCTTGATAGGTAGATAGGATATCATCACGATAACGAGTCTTTGATCTGTTTTGATAAGCAAGCCATGTCCATGTAAAAGTTGCTAATAGCATTATCCCTATTGATCTGAAAGGGATAGGAGACACATCAAAGGTTATAAGGATCTGCTCTGTTATGGAAATTAGTTTCGGTCTCACTTACATTCCGATATAGATAGGTGTCATGACGTGGTATGCAGGACTTTTGTAAAGGTAGACCAGCTAAGAATGATCTCATGATTAGTCAGTTGAAAAGAAGCAATGGATTAAGAAAGGAGCGAAATGAAATCCATGGTACTCACCCAGATAGTCAAGATCGAACCCCCATTTGCAAACATAAATCCCATAGCGATTGAAGAAGCACATCGAGCATATGGCTCACTATTATTTGCTAACCAAGCTCCTAATGCAGGCACTAATGCAAATACTCCAGGGATCTCAATGTAAAGCATACCGTATTGTTGATACTTTTCTTCAAAGACCATACACATCATAAATCCACACATTAACATCGTGGCTGATAAGATTACTGACATTCCACGAGATGAGTATCGATCTGAGATGAAAGATGTAAAGAGGATGAAAATGAAGGCAACCGAGTAAGGTGGCACTTTGAAGATGAGAAACCAATTAAGGACTCTGTAAGTTTTGGCGCTGATTGTCTGAGGGATTGATGAAGATCTTGCGAAGCGAAGACAAAGAATTATATGGAAAACCCACTGGAAGCCAAAAGAGTGTGCTTTGGATTCAACCCGAGTAGATCGACAACTGTTTTGTGAAAGGAAACAATGGTCAATACTCGACTTGGATCTAAGATATCTTTACTAGGACCAACCTTGCGGCTCAAAGTACACAAGACTTTGAGTAGTAGCACCACTAAGAAATGCACATAAACTGATGAGAAAGACGTGAGGACTCTTGAATAAGGCTGCCAAAACATGATGAGTTGGGATTGATCTAGTGTTTTCTAAGTTTCTACCTTCCTGTTTTAGCCTACTTGAAAGATTTCTGAGGTATAGTAAAAGAATTGGTCAGTATCATATATTATATGAAGAAAATTAGTAAGACTCATTAAACTCACTCTTTTTGTTCGGTGTTGAGAAATTTGGATTTTAAGGTTGTTGAAGGTAAGAAAAAGATTGAAATAAAACCAAATATGAAAGCCATTCCACCTTCAAGCTAAAAATGAATTTCTATAGACAACACTAAAAGATTGTGCCCATTGCGTGAGCTGCCGTCTGTGCGCGGCCACGTTGCGGGCCCCTTTTTTTTTTTTTTTTTTTCTTTT